CATAATTCGAGGTATATCCAAAGATAATACAGTAAAATACGGTAGCTGCTGGTATGTTCGTCATCAAAATCACTACCAAAGTCTGAGAAATCAAACTTTTGGTAAATTGAGATTGCATCAACCGGGTCTTGGCCGTCATATGCATAGTCTTTTGGCTTATGAATTTAAAAGTTTTCAGAGCGTAGTAAAAGGTGGTTGTAATGGCTAGAGATACCTCGAAGATTGTTACCGCTACCCATGTTATTCCTTCTGCGTTTTCCTGAAAAGAAAATTCATAAAAACTGTAGTTTCAGCCTTAGCCTTATACCCAGCCTAAGCCTCAATAGTCAGCTCTAGTTCCAAATCTTCTCGCAGACCTAGCCTCGGTTCTAGTCTCAAATCTAGTCTTTGACTTAATCTTACGTCTAGCCTTAGGCTTAGTCTTAAGGATAGTTTCAAACATAGCCTTAAGTATAGCCTTATTCCTAGTCTTAGTTCAAGCTTCAGCCCTAGCCTCAGCCCTAGCCTCAGCCCTAGCCTCAGCCCTAGCCTTATCTCTAGCCTCAGCCCTAGCCTAAGCCCTTGCCTCAACCCTAGCCTTAGTTCAAGTCTCATCTCTAGCATCAGCTCTAGCCTCAAGTCTAGTCTGTAGCATAACCTGAGGTCTAAAGTGAGCCATATCATCGCTCTAGATTAAACCAAGCACAAGCCTAAGCTGGAGCCTAAGTTTTATCCCAATTCTACGCTCAGCCTACCAAAACAAAACATTAGGTTTAACTTACCAAATCAACAGCATACACATAGTACGATTTGTCAGCAGAATCAGGTAAGCGTTCCAAGTAAAAGTTTTGTGGATTTTGTAGACTTCGGTCAACAGCTATACCACCAGATGTAGCACAACATAAAGAAAAGAACAAAGAAACGCTGATTCGAATAAAAATGTGTTTGAATTCAAAAGAGCCGTTTGAGCTGAAAAAATAACTTTTAATTTATTAAATTTATTTTAAAATTAAATTTTGATGACTTTTAGTGATATTTTAAACAAGCTTACTTTTTGACAATTTCATAGCGGTAAAAATAAAGTGGAGGAAGTAATGTTATCGTATTCACTAGGAAAAATAAATGTATTCCAAAGGTTATTGGATAATAATGCTCATATAACAAATAATGTTCTATACCATGCGCTGTGACAAACATTTTATGATGACCAAAGGCTAAAATCTAAAAAATAATAAATTTAAAAAATTAATATTGAGTAAATACAAATTAAAGATTTTTTTTAAATTTCTAATTCTAACCCCTAGCCTTAATTTTATTCTTAGCACAGCCCGGATTAAAAAATATTTGAAAAGGATGAACCCGAGCCGGAACGCTAGAAACAGATCGTTCCAGACGGAAATCGACACCTAAATGAAAGCTCCAGAGACCCTGTTTAGGTCCTACAACAAAAATTTTGTCTTGCAAAAAGTGTAAAACAAATTTGATTTTAGAACTACGGTGGTGTCTCTATATAGTGACTTAGCTGTATAAGCAACTCTCCGTATTAACCAAGAAGTTCAACCCCGCCAAGTCAAGTTGCACTAAAAGCACTATGTAAAGACAACACCCTATGTAATAAACACAAGATGTTGGTGCTTTCGGGTTGCTTATATATAACGAGTACTGTATCTACAGAATAAGTTTTGACCCCTGTTTATTCAAATTGTTAAATATTTGATTATTTACGGCACAGATGCAGTATGTACGTTAAAATTGGCCTTACTTATTTCTTTAGTGAATTTATATGAAAAGCCGGCTCGAAAAAAATTTTAAAGGAGCCCATAGACTAAAACAAGACTCGGATGATAGGTCAGACAAAAACTTTGAGCCCACAGCAACACCTTTACCGGTCTAACAATTGTCAGGGGCACACATACAAATTTAAAAAAAAATTTTTTTGATTTTTGGTAGTCTTACAATTAGACTTGATTTTTTTCAGAAGGTTGCAACTACTTTTTTTTAATTTGGGTAGATCAGTGTTCTGCCGGACCGGACGGACAAAAACAAGAATTTTTGCGGACCTGACCGGACCCAAAAACCTGCAGGCCCGGACCGAAGAAAAAGTTTTTTGACTGGTCCAAAAGAAAATTTTTTTTTATTTTACTAAAACTGATTTAAAAATTGCAAATAAAATGTATTTTTAAGAGTTTTTAAGCAAAAAGAAAGCAGTTGTTTCTTGCTTTTTTTAAAAATAAAAAAATATTTTTTGCGGACCGGACCGGAGCCAAAAATTTGAGGATTGGACCGGACCGGCCGGACCCGAAAAACGCTCCGGACCGGCCGGGCAAAACACTAGAGTAGATACATAAACGAAAAAAGCCCACACTTAAAAATTGAGCATTATGACTGCAATAGTAAAATACGACATAGATGTTTGACTGAAATAAGACCAAACATAATGAACCAGTTCAAAATTTCAAAACTTACATGTTGCAAAAAGCACTCGACGAAACAAAAACAAAAGTCGTTGATAGCCAGTACTAGAACTATTTGACTGTACGGATGCTTTCTGCCATACTTTCGGCGTTCAAGAACTGCCATAATGAGAGCCAAACTTAGGATCAAGCCAAGAATTGAGCCTATGATATCACTTGCCCATATAAACTCGTTTAGCCAATTCATTTTTGATTTTTTTAAAGTTTACAGAGCTGAAAAGTATACATATTATTGTAGTAACAGTAGTTTATGTAGTTTAAAAAATATTATTTAATACTACTTTAGTAGCAGTAATGTAAACAAAAACAATTCAAGATTATATTATAAATAGTAACGTATATGTAGTGTGTATATACAGTGTGAATTATGTGTAACTCCACAGTAACGAACAAATTTGAAAACTTCAAACAAATTTGAAACCCCCCAAGCAATTTGTGATACAAAGCCCTACTGTATGTTAACATAATGTATAATGAGTTCCTAAAACAAGAGCTTAAAACAACACAACGTTAGGAAAAAATAAACCAAATCTTTTCAGAAACAAAGCAAGTATCAACATTGCCGAACCCTGTAATTGCTTGTTTATTAGGTTTGAGACCTATTTTATTAGTTATGGCCTTTTCAAACATTCTACGCTTTGGTTTTGCATACAATAATTACATCGAATGGCTCAGTAATTGTTTGCTTAGGTAAGCGTTATTAAAAACGGATTAAATTTATTTTTTGGTCGTCAGGTGCTAAAAATAGCTGTAACACAAGATTCAACCCCAGCCATAGCCATAGCCATAGCCATAGCCATAGCCATAGCCATAGCCATAGCCATAGCCATAGCCATAGCCATAGCCATAGCCATAGCCTTAGCCTTAGCCTTAGCCTTAGCCTTAGCCTTAGCCTTAGCCAAAGACATAGCAGTTGAGTTTAGCATTTAACATCTCTTACTCCTACCTCTACGTTTCTGGTTGTATTATAGCTCTGCCTTCCCTTTATATTAAACCCAACACTTTCTCTGCCTTGCTTTGCCCTACCGTACCTTTGTTTTATCTTATTCTAATTGTAGCCAATCTTAACTCTATCATAGCCTTTCTCTGGCTTTGCACTAATAATATTCTTACATCACCTTTGTCAAACATAAATTCATTATTACACTACCATATACATAAATATAATATAACTGAGACCAGACTAAGACAGACTTGAAAAGAGCCCAGTAAGATAAGACCCAGCCTAATACAACTTTGAAAGAAGGGCCCGGCTGAAAGCAGAGTTGGGTTGTTGTTGGGTTGTTGTCTTTATAGCTTTTTTACAGTCTTAGCCTTTGACCTACCGTGGCTATCTTTGCACCGTTGAGAAAATGGTGTTCACGTCAAATAACACACAAATTTTAAAAAATGACAAGAATTTTAATTTTGCAACAACAAGTAATTAATGTATTGTACGTTACTACGCTAAATATCAAGTCTAACGACTTACCAATAACAAATTAACAAAAAACAATAAAATTACAATTTTTTGCTTTCAGGGAAGATTAAATTAAATTTTTTAATTGTTTTAAACTTCAAAAATTCGAAAATACAGAAGTTGAAGCCATTTCCGCATACAGTAGACAAAAAATTTGGCTTTTACAGTTTACAGTAAATAAACAGAATATAATGACAATTATTTTTCACACAGTAATTGGGTGAGTAACAAGATACATCTGTGCTTTTTTTAGTAATTTATGTGCTCGAAGATTACTGCAAAAAACAATTTTTGCAGTTCATCTTTACTTTGTCAGAGAACACTTTAAAAAGTAAGTATAAATTAGACACAGATGATGATTTAGTACAAAAACGTTTACACTTTTAAGTACAAAACAGCATTTTTATAACAATAACAAGTTTTTAAAAATGTTTTTAAATAGAAGACGACGGGACAGCAAGAAAAAAGTACCCTACCCTACCCTATTCGGCTCTGTGTTGTCTTACACTGCCTTACCTTATCTTTTCATATCTTGTAACCAACCTGCAAATGAAAAATTTCTTAAGCCTACTGGTTAAAATCTCCTCTACCTCTTTATTTTGCCTACCTCTGGTCTAAAGCAGTTTTAAACTTTGGTTGACCAATATATCACCTGCACTTTCAAAAAACAGATTTTGATTAAACACTACATTTACTCTGTGAATGTCACAAATGAAATCAAGTTTTAATGGTAAACAAAAACTAGCTTTGTTATTTTTTAACAAATGTGCCAAAAAGAAGTTTTGTCGTATATTTACATGCATTTGCATGTTAAAAAACGCCAAGACTTTTTATAACTAGCAATTTTATATTCTATTTTTTAAATAATCCTGTGCTCCATCTGAAGCAAATTTTGAGCGTTGAATAGCTCAGAATTACTTGAACTATTTATGATTAAATCTTTTATTCAAAAATGAAAATACTATGGTAAAATATAAAGAAATGTGGCATTAGCCTTAGTTTAAGCCTTAGCCCTAGCCTAACTATAATACAATACTATGCACAATATCTCCAATTTTGATCTATTTATTTTCAACCTGTGTAAAAAACTACCGAACATGACTAGTACTAACAGAATAAGCCTCGACCACGTCCTTTCGATAGCCGACTTTCTCATATATCCAACATCGATAGTCCTTAATAAAATAGAACGTCAGTAATGAAGCACAAGCTGATACCCATGAAAAGGGCCATAAAATCAAAGTCCCAACGTAATTTGAAGTATAACCAAAGATAATACAAAAGAAAACGGCTGAGGCTGGAGTATTGGCCATGAACAGGACTACTAATGTCTAAAATTCTGAATTTCAAAAAAAAATCAAAATTTTAAATTTTTTTAAAATTTTAAAATTAATTTTTTCAATTTTTGCTTACCTGAGAAATCAAGCTTTTAGTAAACTCGGTCTGCATTGATTTTGTTTTAGCTGTTACATTAATATTCATTTCCTTCATCACTTTATACGTCTTCAAAGCGTAATATAGAGTACAAACCATAGCTATAGTCGATTCAGTACAAGTAAATGCCATCCAACTTATTCCTTGAACGTTTTCCTAAAATTCCATAATCAAATTTAAAAAAAAGTTCTCACTTTAACCCTATCGGTACCCCAGAGCCCTAGCCTAGAGCCCTAGCTCAGAGCCCTAGCCCAGAGCCCTAGCCCAGAGCCCTAGCCCAAAGTCCTAGTCCAAAGTTCTAGCCCAGAGCCCTAGCCCAGAGCTTTAGTCCAAAGTCCTAGCACAGAGCCCTAGCTCAGAGTCGTAGCTAGACATGGCAATCGAGCCGGGCCGCAGGCTCGCGTCGGCCCGGTTTTTGAATTTTTTTCCCGCCAAGTCAATATCTCAAAAACTATAAGAGATATCAAAATTTTAAGGCCATTTGGAGGAGGTAGCACCCAATAAAACCAAGGGGTAGAAAAAGTTTCAAACAGATTTGATAAGCAGAAAAAAAAGCGCGGGAAAAAAAATTCAAAAAACGGGCCGACGCGGGCCCGAAGCCCGACCCGATTGCCATGTCTAGTCGTAGCCCATAACTCTAGCCCTACTCTTGTTCTACATTTATCAATGTTGTACCTGTTTACCGTTGCGGTAACTTTTCTCCAGTCTTATTCAATACTTACCTTACACGTTCCCTAATCTTGTTCTTCCTTCTGCCTAGCCTCATATTTTGTCCAATACCTCCCTACCTTTGTCTTTCCCATGTCTTACCCTATCATTAGTCCTAGTCATAGTCTAAATGTTTACGTTAAAAACAGCGGAGCCGTATTTTACATAAAAAAATAACTTACCACATCAACAGCATAGACAAAGTAAGTTTTGTTGTTGCTAATCCAAACTTCAGGTATAAGTTCTAAATAAAATTCTCTTGAATTCTGTAGACTTCTATGCACAGCTAAGCCTCCAGAAGCTGCACAACATAATGAAAAAACCAAAGAGATACTAATCCTGGACAAGAGGTGCTTCCACTGATAGGTACCATTTGCACTATAAAATAAGTTTTTTAAATTTATATTTAAAATTTTAATTTTTTCAAAAAATTTCAAAAAAAGTTTTGTTGTTTTGAACTATTAACAGCAATGCAAATTGACGACAAGACTTTTTTTTGGTTAAAAAGATTTTAAAAAAAACTGAAGATAAACTTACTTTTTAATAAATTCATACCGATAAGAGTACACCGCAGGTAGAAAAGTTATAGTGTTCATGAGGAAAAACATGTGTATTATAAAAGTTATAGGATAGTAAGTATCAGACAACAAATAGTGTTCTACACCATGTGCTGTGACGAACATTTTGTAATGCCCAAAGGCTAAAATCTAAAAAAAAGGTAATTTGAAAGTGCGATTACTTAAGACTAGAGCTCTGGGCTAACGTTGTAGACTAAGGCTCTGGGCTAGGGCTCTGGGCTAGGGCTCTGGGCTAGGGCTCTGGGCTAGGGCTCTGGGCTAGGGCTCTGGGCTAGGGCTCTGGGCTAGGGCTCTGGGCTAGGGCTCTGGGCTAGGGCTCTGGGCTAGGGCTCTGGGCTAGGGCTCTGGGCTAGGGCTCTGGGCTAGGGCTCTGGGCTAGGGCTCTGGGCTAGGGCTCTGAACTGGGGCTCTGGACTAGAGCTCTGGGCTAAAACTAGAGCTAATTGTTTGAACTTACATGTTGTAAGCAGCACTCGACAAAACAGAAGAAAAAGTCGTTTATAGCCAGGACTAGTACAATTTGACTGTATGGATGCATTTTGCCAGCTTTTCGACGTTCATAAACGGCCGATATCAAAGCGGTGCTCAATATGACGCCAAGAAATGAGCCAATTATGTCATTGGCCCAGAAGAATTCAATCAATTTGTTCATTTTCTCTAAAAAATTAAAAGTATAGTGGTACTAAGAAGAACAAAAAGATAAAAAAAGACCACGAGAATGAAGATAAAGAACAGATGAAGACGACAAAAACAAAAGTAAACAGAGCATAGCTATGTGCATGACCATGAGCATGAGCATGAGCATGAGCATGAGCAGATGTGTAAGCGTTACATGAACACTAGATTTGAAAGGAGGAACACTAGGTTCGGCACGAGCTGTGCCGGACCGAAGCACATTCAAAAAGGGCCAAGCCAAGTTGAAAAATTAGGTTTGATCCCTTTTCAAGCCTAATAAACACTATAGACCGTACCATAAACCTCTAACAAACTAAAAAAGAAAACTTAATTTTGATACGCTCATTATCAAATGCACGGTAATATAGACAATCAAATAGAACGTTAATTTAATAAAGTTAAGACCTACTCTTTCACAATCGCAACCTACTTTAATAACTTTGTCATACACTTTAAAAGGGTATGTCATACACAACTATAGTTATTAAGTATTTTCACTATTAGCGTTTCGCGGTAAACGAACCCACATTAAAGTAGAATTTGGAACATTACTCAAAAACCTAATTACAACTTAATGCAATGTTAATTTAATTTTTTGTAGGGTTCAGCGTCACGTACTCGCTCAATTCTAGTACTGCGTAATGAGCCCACGTTTTTCGTATATTTTTTTTTCAAGTTTGTATACGATAAGTAGTAAAAATGTTCGAAATTTTACCCTACCCTAGCTAATATAGGTCTCAATTCTAAGTCCTAACCTCATTTTTGCGTATCCCTTGTATGAAGCAATATTTTCATAGATAATATAAAACATTAAGTCATATAAATAAAGCATACATCTTTATATACGCAAAAATTTGCCCTTTTACTATTATTACATACCGTTCTCTGCAATATGCACATTCACAAAAGTTACTAAAAGGCATAACTTTTTAACCTTACCAATCTTATATTTTTACATTATATATACTAGGTTAACATAAGGTTTCTAACCAACCTTACTCAACAAGTTTTCAATGTTACTCTAACGTTTTTACTATCACATTTGACTTTTATACTGAGACAAACATGCTATTCTACACATGTAAAATATAAAACTGTGCTTTCGTAAAGTACTGTAACTCATTAAAAACAAAAATTTGTGTTGAAACTATTTTTAATTGTTTATAAATGTCAGATTATACCTTCTTTTCTCCGAAAAAATAGATAATACTGCAATATTTTTAGATATTTTTACAAAATAAATTTAGTAATTACATTGACCTGCTATAAACGATCTTTGAACTACAAAGTTTACTTCAACGCGAGGTTCTACTCTAGCCAATTTTACCTTATCCTACCCTAATCTGCTCACCTTACTCTATTCTACCCCACTCTATTCTGCCCTACTCTACCCTACCCTACCCTACCCTACCCTACCCTACCCTACCCTACCCTACCCTACCCTACCCTACCCTACCCTACCCTACCCTACCCTACCCTACCCTACCCTACTCTACCCTACCCTACCTTGCCCTACCCTAGTTTATCCCACTCTTCTCTGTTGTACCTTAACTTACCTTACCTGCTCTTTTAACTATACCTCTCTTCCTACAGTACCCTACTCTACTTTACTTTCGAATGCCTTTCTCTATTACAAAAAAACTACATATATCAAACCTTGTGAACGGCCTATCTTACTCTGTCTTCTTAATCTTTTACACATTACGAAACAAACCTTAAACTACCTGAAACCCTCCGTCTTTACCCTCTAAAATCCCCGCCCTACACTGTAAAAACACACTGTAAAAAAGATTATTATAATAAAACAACCCTTCAAATGTTCAACTGTGTAATTGATACTTAGATAAGCTAAATGACCATACGACATTTTAAGTAAATTGTTAAACCAACTAAAAATTACCGCTGCTAACTTAGTTACGTGTTTTTACTAACTAATCATTTACCTTTTTACCTTTACGTGTTCATTAAACAAGTATTACTTCTGTTTATAAAGGTGCTAAGCTCCTTTAAATAAAGTTACTACCTATTGTAAAAAGACAGACAGTGCTACAAAAGTATAAACTTTTGCCATGCTATCCTTTTAGAAAAGACTGCACTAAGAACTCTCTCTGTAACGACAGCACCCCTTATAGTAAACATAAAATGTCGGTTCCTTCGTGTTGCTTATATAGAAAGAGTACTGTAGTAGGCAGAGCCACGTTACTCACACCACTACACTCACATGTTCAAATTAGCCCAACTAACAAAGTTATACTAACGTAAAACACAGAAACCTAGACTACAGCCCTATAACAATGTGAGTAAATTCTTGATTTTTACAATGTACTACATATGTCACAGTTTACTAGTCTAAGAAGCTTGTTTTGTATCTAAATAAACTTTCTATATGAGAATATACACTTCACATACCACAATTTCTTCAAGAGTTTTAAAATATCACAACAACACGACGCATACGGTCTACATACTTGTTTTCGTGTACTTGTTTTCAGCAGTTTTTAGTCAAGTATTATATAATTTTGCAAAATTTAATACAGAAAATTAGTTTTTTATTAAAAAGTTTAGCTGTTTTGTAACTTTTCTTAAGTCTGAGAGTTACATTAACTTTATTCTTAGGCCTAGCTAACCTCAGCTTTAGCCTCAACCCAAACCATAGCATCAGCCGTAGCCTTAGCCTCAACCCAAACCTCAGTCTTATCTTCAGCCCTACTATTAAACTTAACCCTAGCAAATTACATTAGCTCTAACCTTATCCCTGTCGTAACACTTCTTTAGCTCTAAGCTAACCATAACTTGCCCTAGCATAATATAAAAACTAAGGAAAATGAGGTTCTACCTTAACCATAATGTAGCCCTTACTTGAGCTTACGCGATATTGGGCAACCGTAGCCTTACCCTAACTCTCCTCTGCCCTACTTTGTTACAGTATCTTAACTTAACATGCAATATCCTACTTCACCTTAACTTTAATCTACCCTATCCTACCCTAACTCTAATCTACCTTACTATACCTGGCTTTACTTTACACTACCTTACTATAACACTATCACTACCTTAGACCTACGCTAACCTTGCCTTACCCTAACACAATATAAAAAACGAAAAATAACAATAACAATCAATTAAGTCACATGCAAATTCGTACGAAGAGTTTACTTCAATAAAATACGAAACAAATGTTTCCACAAATATTTCAAGCAATAGCCGCTTTCGTTGTCTCAACGACGGTAGGGAGACGGACGATGCTTCTGGAGACGTCTTCGACCGAATCTGAGTGGATCACTTTCATCGTCATCTGGAACATCATCAGCCATGACGCGATGATGACGGTGACGACGGCGATGTCTGGACTGAAGCTTCTTGCCAAATCTTAATCACTTTCGTCATCATCTGGAACATCGTCGGCCATAGCACGGTGATGTCGGATACCAATGCGGTGTCGTCTTCTGCCAGATTTGAGTGACCGGTCGAATCTGATCGGGTCCGGACCTTCGTCATCTTCTGGAGCATCGTTAAACATGATTTTATGGTGACGACGACGGCTATATCTAGACTGAAGCTTCTTGCCAAATCTGAGTGGATCACTTTCATCATCATCTGGAGCGTCATCAGCCACAAGTTTGTGGTCAAACAGGCCAGAATACTTTGTTCCATCATTGGGACGGTGACGGTTTCTACCAATGCGATCTGGTCTTCTTTCTCTTTGAAGTCTTCGACCGAATCTGAGTGGATCACTCTCATCATCGTCGTCTGGAGCATCATCGGCCACAAGTTTGTCGTCAAAGAGTCCAGAATACTTTGTTTTATCATCGCGAGCTTTACGACGAGCTTCACTCATTCGGGTATGACGATCTTGACGAGGTAATAAACCCCTAGCATGTCTTCTGGCTGCTACTGCGGCTAGAAATAAAAAATGTAAGCCTAAGCACAAGTTTAAATTAAAAGTTTCAAAAACTCAAAGTAACAAAAAATTATGCCAACTTTTCCAATTCTAGCCTAAAAACCAAAAAATTTACCCTCCCCTCCCCCTAAAAAATAAAAAAAAAATTTCTAAATTTCAAATTTTTTTTTCAAAAATTTTAACTCACAAAATAAAAAAGCTTCTTTACCCCGCCTCCCTTAAAAATACGACCCAAAATCCATGCCCAATCAAAAAAATGTAAAGCAACTTACTGGCTCCAACCAGAAAAACGAGAACCCACAACAACTTCATTATCGACCGCTCGGCGACTCGAAAAAATGGCCAACTGATAATTTTTCAATCTTTCGTTTGAAAATCAACTTTTGAAAATTTTTTTTAATTTGCATATTTTTTGTTGAAAAATCCATTTTTTGATGATTTCAAAAAGATTTCGAAATGAACAAACGCCATTTTAAGTTTTTTTTAAATATTAAGTTTTTCAAACAATTCTGCGTCCTGTATCCCCCAAAAATTGCTTTCAGAGAGAGCACAGAATTATTTAAACAAACTAGTAAAAATGAACTTTTCTTCAACGTAGAGAATCTTAAGTTTGATAAGACAAAACAAATTTTTTTAAAAATTTATTGCGTTTTTACAGTTATACTTACTGTAACTTCTTACAATGGTAAAAGTCACAGTTACTGTAATTTGTCCCATTAAAAAATAAAACTGGATGCTCATTGGCTATACTCAATAACACTTCTTCCAAATCTGAGCGGATCTTCTTCTTCATCTGAGAAATACGAACTTAATTCATCTGCAGCCCTCTTAGCTACAGTTTTAAAATTGAGTTTGCCGTTTAAAGAGTGACGATTCCCGCGTATACGCATCCCTTTATGTCTGGTATCTTCATTGTCACGAAAACTTTTCAGATATTCTGATTTCTTGGCTTCAGCCACAACTGAATATGGTAAAATTAACAAAATAAAGAAAAAGGGGGGGACCCCCAAAAAAAAATTCGAAAAAAGTTGAACGTGGTCCCCCCTGTGGATTTTTTCGACCCCCGCCCTCGAGACCAAAAGTCCCCGCCCGGCCCTGCTAATGGCCATTACTAGTGCATTTCAAGCCTTACCTCAATCTTATCCTACCCTACCTTATTCTACCCTACCCTACTTTACGCTACTCTACCTTACCCTACCCAAACTGTGAAGTTCCTTCCTTGTCTTGCATTATCCTACCCTATTCCGCTTACCATAACAATAAAAACAATAAATCAAACTTACTGGCTGCTAATACAAGCAGTACCACAAATACAATACTTTTCATGTTGAACCTTCAACTCCACAAATTTGAATTTTTTAACTACAATAATCGATTTAAAAACCGCTATTTATATACTCATTAAATTAAAACTATTTGATTGTTTTGTTAGAATGATATCATGTAACAATGCTTTAGATCTATAATAATATAATAAAAGCATTGACATTGTCATTTTCAACAAAACATGACTTATTGGTATTAAAGTTTTATTTTTGAATTTAAAAGCTCTTTCATTCTAAAAAAACTTCTTATTGATTCAAAATACCAAATAACATATAAAAAAAACTTTTATTGTAACATACATTATTTAACTTCCCGCGTAGTTTCATCCTAGACACATCAAAAACCCAAATCTTCCAAAATTTATAAAAATTTATTTATACTTCAAGTACAACACAAAAATAGTCAAAATAAGGCAAGTTAGGACCGTCTCTAAGCCTTTCAAATCTTCAGTACACCAACGTCAAGCACTCTCAGTCCTATTGCTTCTTGTACTCCACCGAGTCATCAGGCATGTGAAGAGGTTTGTAAATCAAATTTCCACTGAAGGCTGAGCCATCTGATCTTCTTCTGTGACTTCTTCTTCCATTGGCTTCTTTTCTTGACCTACGTCCTCCTTTTGGTGTTCTATTGCTACGTCCTCTTCGACCAAATCGACCTCTGATGTTCCTTGGTGCTCTTTCCTCACGTATTAACGAGCTTTGCTTTAGGTAGTCGAATTGAATACCATCGTCTTCTGATCTCGGAACAGATCTACGATGTCTGCGACCTTCAGAAGAGCCACGACGACGGGTAAGGTAATTTGAAAAGCGTCCGGCTCCAAACTGAAGGCTATTTTGGCCATATCCATTCGATTTTAGGGCTCTACTCATCAGTCTTTTGCTATTTTTCTTTAATTGATGGCCATTACTCATCAGTTTCTTGTCATTTTTCTTTAATTTCTTTCCATTACTCTTCAACCTCTGACCATTCTGTACATCATACTTAAGCTTTCGATACTGTTTAGGAAGCCAGAGGTGTCCACGATGAATTTTGTGTTTCCGAGAGCGTCCAAACTGTCCCCTGTGAGGCCCTACTCTATGATGAGGAGATCTTCTGCCATTGCGCGGACTCCTTCTGCTTTTGCCAATTCTGATTGGACTTCTAGAATTCTTATCAGCACCAATCAGAGGGCCCCTCGACCCCTTTCTTCTATTCAAGGAGATGACATTCGAATGACTTTTCTGTAGAGAGAGCTTCTTGGATCCATCACTAGCGAGTTTGTCGGCATTAACATCACCTAAGAATAGATTTGGATCGGTCTTCAGAGCAACATTGGAGTTGGCTAGATCAGTGGACTTTAATTGGACCTTCTTATTGCCTTGTCTTGCTTCTATGGCTACTGAAAAGGCAAGAACTTTCTTTACAAACTAAAAAATAGCAAGAACTTTCTTGACAGGCCAAAATATGGCAAAAACTTTCTTTACAAAACAAAAAATAGCAAGAACTTTTTTTACAAAGCAAGAAATAGCAAGAACTTTCTTTACTGATCAAAAATAGCAAAAACTTTATTGACACAGTAAAAAACAAAGAAAACATCACATTATTATATGATACTATAATATACGAAATGACTTACCAAGCCCAACAACTAACAAAATGACCCCCAACCTCATAATCGACCGCTTGAAAAACGAACAAAACAGACGACTGACTACTTGACAAATGAAAATTCGTTTTGAAAGTTTTTGAAAAAAAATGAAGTTTAAAAAACATATTCAAAATTTTGAAAATTCATTTTTTTTTTCATTTTTAAATCTAAAAAAACAAACAATACCTTAAATTTCAGGTTAAAAGCCTTCTTTTTGAAAATGGTAACAAACATCTTTTTCTCAACTTCAACTGAATTTCAGATAACAAGGATCATATAAAATTCACCTTGCAACGTTATGATAACATTGTCAATTGGATTAGCACTTCTTTAAGTAATATGAAACGATTTTATTTGCTCTGATTCGAATTCATTGATATATAACATCAAAATTTAAAGTGAAGACAAGACAGCATATAACGTTAAAAGGCAACATATAAGACCTTAGAAAGTATAAATGTAATATTATAACATTAGAGAGTAAAGAAAATGCAAGTTTTAACAAATTTTAAACTGAAAATGATTAACAAGAAAATATTTAAAACAAAACCTTAAAACTTTTGTTGTAGATATCGCCATCGACCATAAAATGCACCGTAAAGCAACAATCCGTTGAAGTCCTGATCGGTACGTCAACAATAAAGTCATTTTTCGAATTCTTAAGCTCCTTAAACGGATCATACAAGAAGTCACCAAAGCCAAATCGATAGTAAACAATCTTTCCTGTACTGTTCTTCAAAATCATACGAAACCGTGAGCTTCCATGCAATTCCACCTGGTCCAGCTTTTCATTTGTTAGCTCTTTCATTTCAACCATCTTACACAAAAACTCAGGTTCTTCTGGGTTCTCGGCCAGCTTGTTGTCATAGCCCAAAAAGTTGAAGTAGAGCACATCTCATGACATTTTAAGCCTATGTAAGGTAAATCCAAATTCTTGGCCAATAGCATACACTCATAAAGTTCATCAACATCAAACTTCAGGTTTTGTACGATTACCAGCTCGCATTGAATCTGAAAAGAATAATGTTAGCTTTATTACCTAATTTGACCTAATACCCGCTATTTTGCATAAACACCTAAAAAACGTTATTTGAAAAGGTGAGATCAATATCAGAGTCAGAAAATATATTATTCTATACTAAACCAACCTTTAGAAGTTCAATTTCATATCTATGGGCAAGCTGAATGACCTTTACAGCTAATTTTACATCCTCAACCTTCTTGCCAGCATAGATGTGCAATAACATTGCCTCGACAGCTTCTTCGTCTTCATTCATAACTAGTTGACTTTCAAGAACTTCCTTCATTCCAGATTCAAACATATTCTTGAAGACCTCTGATTTCATCGCCAATCTCAGCTTTGCTACCTAAAATTAGATAGTGAGTCGAATAAATCAAGCTAGAAAAGCGAATTTTGAGCTTGTTTTAGATTACGTTAAGAATTTATACCTAAAAACTAAGACAAAAACAAGAAAACTTACATGGAATGTTTTGTCTCCAACTATAACTTTAAAATCGCTGAGAGTTGGTTTGTTGAAAAGCTGTAGATAATAAGGCATTTCAACGATTTTTGATGCTTGAACTAAAAAATATACTATATAAACCAAGAAATCGTCTTTACATCAACATAAGTCACATTATATCAAAAAAAAGGTCATTTATATCAAAAAAAAGGAAAAAAAATATTCGCCATTTTCCACTAAAACCACCATTTTAGGTAACACAAACATAACATTACTAAAAACAAATTTATATACCATTTCCAAATTCTTTAACGATACTAACTAAAGTACAAAAATAAAGCAAAATCCTTACTTTTGAGACAGTTGATGTGCCCTTGAATTTGTTTTTGCCGCTTTTGCAGCAAATCTGGTTCCGTCGATGAACTCATTATCTAAAACACAAGGTTAATATAGTAAAAACACTGTTTTACAAAACTGTTGAATTGAAGAACAGATAAACTATCAAAAAACGTGTAAACAATTGAAACATCACTAACAAATTCGTTCGGAACTTCCTTTGTCGAAAAATAAACAATTCGAATAATATTTTCGGCCGCAAAGGACAGGGCGCAACTCACGTTCAGAACATAAATATTTTTTACAGAATTTTATACTTTGACATGCTTTACATTGTATAATAGTAATTTACCGTTCGTTCTGTTTTAGAAAAAATCTTGTCTTATATAAAAATTCATCTCAAATTTATATTACAATAGGGAAATGCTTTTTCCTATTATTATATTATAGCTCTTCTAAATAATTTGCCATGCTTTTATACTTTCACTTTCAACAAAACTTTCAATAAAACTTAGCAACAAGGAATTTATTTTACATTCAAAAGGACATAAAGTTACAACAATTTAAAATTGAACAAAGAAAAGAATATTACACAAATTACTTTACAATTGTTAGATCATTGAAACGTGAGGAATCATTCATAACATATCAGAATGAAACAAAGAAACTTGTAGTATAAACAGTTGAATAGTCTTTAAATTCCACTTTGAATTATGCCATCAAAGAATATTTTACAAATTACTTTACAATTGTTAGATCATTAAAAAATGAGAAATAATTCATAACAAATCAGAATGAAACATAGAAACTCGTAGTATAAACAGTAGAATAGTCTTTAAATTCCACTTTAAACTCTTTGCCATCACATGAACATCCAAAAGGCACATCAACAATATAGTCAGTCGTACCAGTCTTCAGTTCTTCAAAAGAGCTCTCATCCGAACCAAAATAAAACCGATATTTAAATGAACGATAGCCATTCTGTAAAATCAATCGAAACTTTTTTTGTCCATACAAGTCCAATTGTTTTAATCTTCTGTCTGACAAATCTACTTCGACCACTTTGCAGTACAATTCAGAATCTTGTTCCATTTCTGAAAGCTGGGTTTCGTATCCACAAAAGTTGAAATAAAGCATCTCATGACATTTTAATCCCAAGTATGGTAAATCCAGTCGTTTTGATATGACCAGACAAGAAGGCGCGATCCCCGCGGGGATCTCCGCGGGTACGAGGATAAAATTTTTTTAAAAAATATTAATTTTTTGTAAAAAACGTTTATTATCATGGAAATAAAATTGCGTATAAAAAGCGCAGGCAGGTCGCAATTTCTTGTTTTTTTCGAACCGCGCCCTAATTGGGTTGCGTGCGCTTTTTTGTTTCGAAACCAGACAAGATTTTGTTTTCTATTTTCTGGTTGGAAACAAGGAGAATCGACCAGCTCATCGACCCCACATATTTACCAAAAGTATTGTAAGTTTTTAAATTATTATTGTCTGTTTTTAGGTATTGTTTTTGCTTTGGAACTGCTTTGGACATGTCCGTTTCATTATCTTTAGTTGAATATATCTAATTGTTACCTAAATTCACTCTTTTAGTGACAGTTTTTTAATCGTTTTTATATTGTAAAAGACATTATTTATTGCAGACCAGAGCGTTCGACAAAGCTAAAAGAGATGGAAGCTGAAATAGAAGAGGAAATTCAGGTAGAAGCCGCATCTACATCTGTTTTTCCTGTCTTTTCAAAGGTAACTGAAATAATAAAATTACAAATTGATTATTACTTAAAATTGGTTTGAGCTCTTAAAATATGCAATTTACAGGTAACTGTATCCAAGAAAAAACAATTGAAGTTTCTAATGTGTCCCCGGCTTGTACAACATCAAAGAGGCCAATGAACAGACGCAGCAAAGTATGGACCTACTTTGACGAGAATAAAGTATGTGTTATCCAAGGATGTTCTTATCGGAGTGCAGATCAAACCTCATCGACCAAGTGCATGTGGGATCATTTGGCCAAAAAACATGCTGATGTTGCTCAAAAGTTAAAGAAGGAGGAAGAAGTGATTGTCCCAAAGAAAGCAAATATGGTAAGAAATGACTTATATTAGCTTAATGTTGTTGTATACGTTAATGTAATTATAAAGCTCCTTGTTTGTTTTATAATGTCATGACGTTTCAGATATCTGGATACGTCGTTAAAAAAAACTTCGAAGATCGTCAGAAAGAGCGTGACCAATACTTAGTCAAGTTGGTTTTGACTTTACGATCTCCTCTATCCTCCTTCAACAACGCCCAATTACAATCATTGGCTGATGCTAAATTCATGGACACGAAAGCTTACGGAGTCAAACACTTCACGTATACTGTAATTCCAGGGATGTTGATGCAATATAAAGATGAGGTTAAGAAGATTTGCAAAGATGGTTATGTTTCAATAACATCTGATGGTTGGTCTCTTAAGGAACATTCATTTCAAAGGTATGGGATTGTTAACATTTGATAATAGTAATGTTTAAAGTTAAACCATTTTAAATTTATTTAAACATTATTGCTTACATTTTTTGTTTTAGTGTAACCATGCATTTCGTGGACGAAGAGTTTGGCCGACACAACTACGTAATTGGATGCCGAGGATACCAAAGTACAGAATCAAAGACATCTGAGAACATTCTCATCAAGATTAACGATTGTCTTGCTAGCTACGGAATCAGCACGGAAAGAGTTGTGGCCCTTGTCAGAGACGACGCAGCGAACATGAGCAAAACAGGGCGGTTAATGCAAGTCTCAAGTTTTCAATGTGGAGCTCACCTGCTGAACCTATGTGTACAACAAGCCCTGGAAGACACGGATGGAATAGTAAACGTAATATTAAAGAAAGGGCGAGAATTTGCCAAGAACTCTAAAAGATCCAAAGAAAATTTGAAGTTGTTTAATGAAGCTCACAGTCGTGTTAATCTGGCTCCGACAAAGATACCAAAAGAATGTGTGACTCGATGGAACTCAACGTATCTGATGCTGAAGCATATATATGAGAAGTTCGATGTCATCACCAGAATCCGATACTGTCCCTTCAACCAGTCCGAACATACTGCACTTAAGATCGTTGTTAAAATACTAGAAAAGTTCTATGAAGTGACGTTGATGTTTTCTGGAGACGATGAATGTTGTGCTACACTTCAACCACGCCATTTTTGAAAACAAGCATTGAAATTCTTAGCAAGAACCAGCACATGTTGAAATTGTGGAATTTGTTCAAACACTACATGACAATTTGGAATTCAGAATTGAAGGTTTAGCTTCAAAGGACATGCTGGCAGCTTCACAGTTAGTGGATCCACGATACACTCACCTCTCTACAGAAGATGACGTTGTCGATGGAATGCGATATCTTCGACGTTTTATAAAGGAAACAACAGCTAATCAACACGTCGCAAGCGGTGGAAATGAGGTTGAGGGTGAATTACAGACTGATGTAGAAAGGAACGAGCTTGAAGATGATCTGTCGTTTCTTGATGAACAACTTAGGATTGAAACTCCCGACATGAATTTGCACATGACTCAAGACAACGATCTGTTCTGGAAGGAGAATCAACATCGATTTCCACTATTGTCAAGCTGCGCGAGAGCATTGATGTCAGTACCGCCAACATCAGTTGCCAGCGAACGATTCTTCAGTCAAACAACACTCTTATTCAGCGATAATTTAAGGGTAAACTTGGGAAACGACCGAACGGAGCAGATTCTACTTTTACGATGCCAAAAGATATTGGATAAAGAAATACAAGACGAAGTCGCGGCAGAACAAGAAATCGAAGAATCACTTGATGAATGTATTGACTAATATTGTTGTTGTTAATTGTTAAAACTTTTAAATTTTCAATAACTTTGTTGTTGTTACATTTGTCTTTAAATTCCTTTAAAATAAAAAAATTTTTATCAAAACATAGCTTATAATTTTTTTTTGAAATTAAAAAAAGGTTCCTAATTTTATAGCATCATTTTAAAGATGATTTTACAACTATTACACTACTTTTTACTTTAAAAAGTACTACTTTTTACTTTAAAAAGTAGTATTTTAAAAATTTTCAGTTGTCCCCGTCATCCCCCCCCGTACCCGCGGGGATTTTTTCATCCCCCCCCCGTAAAAGCGGGGATGAAATTTTCGAAAACGGGGGGGGGGTACCCGAACTTGCGGGGATGGCTCACCCCCCCCGTGCAAATACTCGAAAACATTTAATTAGGAAACCGCAAATAATGAAAATCGAGTTATAACTAGTGGTATATATATAAACATAGAGCAAAAAAATCTAAGACTTATGGTGTAAAAATTTTTTGGCAACAATCTCTAGTTTTTGAGATACGGCAGGTGAAAGTTTGGTTTTTTAAATACTTTTGTCTCATGTTAACCTTTTGAACGGAGAGCATAAGCGCTTCAATGGTAGCGAGCGAGTGAGCCTGTCTTGGGCTCGGAAGTTATAACTCGATTTCCATTATTTGCGGTTTCCTTGTAAAACAAAAGTCGTCTCCCAATACAACGTTTCTAATTTAATTTTCGATAGACTTCACTTTTGCGCTTAGCTGTAAAAATTTGAATAATTTATGTAGCACGTAAAGTGCAAGATAAAAAATTGATTTTTTCAAAATTTGCATGAAATAGCCTAAACTTTAAGCATGCAAAGATCTTCTTTGTGGGTCTCCCCATCTCCGAGAACGGAGACTTTACTTTTGAGTTTCGTGGAGAATACTATTATACTTCAATTCCACCACAAATCGCTATTTACCAAAATTGTTGAACTGAAGAACAGATAAACTATCAAAAAAAAACGTTTAACCAATTGAAAAACCAGTAATAAATTTGTTCCGAAAGTATTGTCGTCGAGAAATAAACAATTTAAAATAGGAGTATACTCAAATAAAGACGTTTTTTGACACATAATTGTTAATTCTCACATACACATGGTAAATTAACCGTATTTCTTCATTTCATCGACACATAAGAACAAAAAGTTTATTTTATATTTAATAAAGATAACATTGTGAATCTAAAAATGAGAAAGTGTTACAATATGGAGCATCATTATAAAAATAAACATTTTCAACTAAAAAGAAAACCTTTAGAAACATTCCAGCAAATATATCATTTATAACAAATACTCGAAAAATTAACATTGACAATCATAGCAAAACCTTGAAACTCCTTTTACCACTTTTACCATCAAGTTTTCCATAGTAATCACAGGTGTAATACGCAACTAGGAAATCTTGATCACAGTTGTTGACAGGAACACTGACGAGATGTTCTTCGCAGTTGGCGTTGGCGATAAGAGTTTTAGAATCACAATTACTTAAGTCACCAAAACCAAATTTGTATTGAACACTGCGGCTTAGATTCTTCTTCAAAATCAAATGAAACTGTGACTGTCCATGTAATTCCAACGGTAGTAGCTCTTCAGTGTCCATGTTGTTCATATCAACAACTTTACAGTAAAAATTTACTTGTTTGGGAATCTTCGTGATCTTGGTTTCGTATTAAAGCATCTCATGACATTTCAATGCCAAGTAAGGTAAATCCAGTCGTTTTGACATGACGAGACAATCATACGCCACATCAACTGTTAGATTCTGTACGATTAAATATTCACATTGAAGCTGAAATGTAATCCATTAGCTTAATGCCGTAAAATATGTCTTTTATAATGGTTATATTTATATATACAGTTCCTAAAAAATACGGAATTTAAAATGCAAAAGCTTACCTTCAAAAGTTCAATCCCATATCTATGAGCAATCTGGATAACCTTCATCGCCAAATTGAAATCGTCAACTTTCTTGTTGCCGTAAATGAATAACAGCATTGCCTCAACGGCTTCTTCATCCTCATTCAAGATCAACTGACCCTCATGAGCTGCTTTCATTCCAGATTCAAAAATCGTCTTGAATACTTTTGATTTCGCCGACAAGAACGCTTTAGATACCTATAAAATGAAAGTTAAGCAACAATATTCCATATCGTGTCCTCTATAAGCTTGAACAACTTTTTCTTGAAATATATTTTAGTTTACCTTTCAAAAATCAAAAGGAAATCATTTGAATATGCAAAAGTTTTTTCATTTCAATGTTGAACAATATCAGGAACAATATTCTTGCAATTCAATTGAAAAATCTAAACTCATAACAAAAAATAAATAAAACTTACATGAAAAGTTCGTTTGCCAACTACAATCCTAAAATCACTGACATATTGATTATCCAACAGTTCCAGACAGTGAGGTACTTAGACGATTTTGAACACTTGAACTGAAAGAATAATATAATTAGCAATAAAATGATAAACAGCGTACAAATTACTTAAAATAACATCAAAATGCTTCTAAAAACTTAACCATAGCAAGAAAATTCGAAACGCATCTTGAAACTTCATAAACTTTGAAAAAATATAATTTTTAGGTAACACTTTCCCTAAAACTAACAAAAAAGTTGGATAAAACCTTAAATTTAATATATATATGACTATATTAATGGTTGGAACACTAAAACTAGAGAAATAGGTTAAAATTCTTACGTCTGAGCGAATGAATATGTTCTTCAAAATGTTCTTGACGTCTTTTCATCAAATCCAGATCGATTGATGAACCCATTTTTTGAAAATAAATCAGCACCTTTAAAAAGTAATAATTTCAGTATTTTTTACCAAAATAAAATTAAAAACGGCTCAAAATATGATGAAAAGCACGATAAATGAGCTCAAAACAATAAGATCTGTTCTTCAATTTTAAATAAAAATATTTCCTATAATTTTAAGCCGCAGCTTGCAGAAGTGAGGGCGCAGCTTCTTCACAACAAAAACGTTACAAAATTGTTGCCCAACGTATATATCACTAAAAATGTCATTCGGATATATTTCTAATGTATATCTTGACTTTCGTTTTTTCCTACTATATAGCCGTTTAGTATATAACGGTTGTCACAGCTGTAAATCTCCTTTTAAAAATTCTGACTTTTGTTCTGTAATTGTACTGTCATAGTTACTTTAAACACTTTTTAATACCGTCACTACTAATCGTACGCTATGGTTTTTTGAGCATATAACAGGCACAAAAATTTGAAAAGTACCATGCCGAATTAGTAGTGAGAGACTTGTGCAGGCCGAAACACACCAAAAGTAACACTATTATAAGTCTTATATATGTTGAGATTAAGAAGTTTTTTGTTTTTTTTTAAGATATTCAACTAGTATAGCAAAACATACTGATTTTTATTTTAAGTTGATACAATTATAACATTTTAATCAGTATTAGTTTTTAGTAGAAGTAGTACTGATAAGTATGACACAACAGTAGTTAATCTACAAAAACTTTTTTACCGTAACAAATACTGTAACAAAGACTCCTTATTTTAGCCCTAGCCCTACCTCTACAAGAGCAAAAACACGAAACTATGGTTTAAATTGAATGCTAGGTCAAGTGTTAGCGTTTTATGTAAACGTCTCCTTATTTGTTCAACCGCTCCTTATTCGTTACAGTCGTACATAAAGCTCATATTACTGTCGACTGTAGCTATATAAGAATTGTCTTCTTTAGAAAATGTCGTACATATCTTATTGATCATAATATGAAAGTAATGTTTAACTGAAGATGAAACAAACTTTAATTCGCTAGTATCTTCTCTAAATGGTTATTATTGTTCATCTGTCTAAACGTGAGTCCAAGGAAAGATACTGTTTCTCAAGCTACCGAGTCATGATAAGGTTCTCTTCAACAACTCAGGCTTTGGATTCATATAAGGTTCTGGGCTAACAAGGGAAGTACCGAATTCATTGAGTGTTTGGTTCATGCCGTGCACTGTATCTGCTGATAAAAAATGTGCGCTAACTGCTCTTTTTTTGTAAAATTCCGGCAAAACCTTTAGTTTAAAACAAGTTTATTAAAGTTTGTATATAAACGTACAGTAAATATAATGCGTATGTATGAAAATATTATACAGTATGATGCTTATACAATGCATTAATCATTGCAATGATTTATAAAAAAACTAAATATTAGTCTATATTAAGTTAAAGAACAAGATGTATTCATAGATGTACAAACAATTTAAACTTCAAACATAAAATGATAAACAAACTCAAATTAAAAATTAAAATTTGAGGTTTATCTAAAAGTCTTTTGAATAATAGGTTGTTCAAATAATTCTGAGCTCTCAACTCCAAAAAAGTGCTTTAAAAAGGGCTCAAAAGTTTTTGAACAGCTTATTAGATTGCACTGTTGTGTTCAGTGCCAAAAAAAACAGATTAACTATACAACTATTTTTATAAAATGTCTTTTTTCTCATGAAGATATACAATTTTACTTTCACTTAGCTACAGTAAACTTGAAATAGTACATGCGAGCTTAATACACTTTAATATTTTTACATAGTAGCACCATATAACCATGCATAACATAAAAAAACCATAATAAAACTACATATATCTCATAAAGTTGTTGAAAAATATCTGAGCCATTAGCCCTATAAATTTGCATTGACAAACAGCTCAGAATTATTTGAACAACCAGAATATCATCATATGTTTTAATGTTTCGAAAATTGAGTTTTAGTAGCATCACTGGACGTAGTCGAAGCTCCCTTCTTCCTCAAATACAACTTCTCCAACAACCATCGTCGGTAGCCCCGCATACAGTACAATGTCAAAATGGCACCAGTAGCAGACACATATGACATTGGTAACATAAACATAGTACCAAGATAAGTACCATCAATACCAAGAGCAATGCATGTGAATAGGACGAGTGATGGAATGTTCGACATTACTCCAATTGTGATTGTCTGAAATGAGGAAAGTTTGGGTAAAGTTTTGAAATTGAAAATTTGACGAAATGTCACAAAATTTATTGAAAAAGTGAAAAAATTTTTTTGTATTTTTAAAAAGTATTTTTTTTTCTTATTTCTAGCTATTTTCCTTGTTTTTAAAATTTTAAACAAAGTGTCAAATAATTATTGATTTTTCAGACGAAGTGTCACAAAATGTATCGATTTTCTTCAAACTTTGAACAATTCTTACCTGTGCTAAAATCCCGTTGTTAAACTGTTTCTGGATGCTTTTTCCTTGTTTTGTTTGTTTTTGGACTCCATTACCAACCACACGCGACGACTTTACCGCGTAGTAAGCGGTGATGATGATGGAGCAACACGATAGCACAATGGTAGCGGCTACCCACAATACTCCTTCTATGTCATCCTGAAATAATATCTATGTTACTTGAAACTTAAAAATGATTTTTTTTATGTTTTTAGTTATGGGTCTATTAAGAAATGACATTTAATTTTATTACCTTGGAAACAAAGTTTTTGAAATTATAAAAAATTTTAAAGCAAATTTTACAAAAAAAATTTAAAAAAGCATAATGACATACCAAGTCCACAGCATAGATAAAGTTGGTGTTTCCATGTTCATCACTCCATGCCTTAGGTAATATTCTTAAGTAATAGTCGCGGCCTCGGCTGACCGACTTTCTAATGGCCAAGAACCCGGCCATACTGCTGATTCCGGAACAGAACATGGCTGTGAAGACGCGACAGAACAGTCCACGCCAGCTTAGAGCCGCACTGAAAATAGCAGTTTTTTCAAACTTTTTCAAAAGACATTTTATACGCTCAAACGTGTCCAATGGGAAATTCAATGTCATTTTATATTATAGGTAAGCCAAAAAATTTAGTATTTTTTAATTGAATAGCTTTAGAAAACATCATCTTTGACAATTTTCACAAAAAAAACTTAAAAATCATTTTATTGACATGTTATACGATGAAACATGTACAAACGAAGTTATCTTGTAAACGTATTTTATCAAAGCTTTATTAAATCAAAATTAAATCAACTTACTTTTTAAGATATTCATATTTGTAACTATAAATGGCTGGTAAGAATGTGAATGAGTTGAAAATGAAGAAAACGTGGAAGAAGAAGCAGATTGGCAAAGCCCAAGTTGGAACGAATCGCTCCCAACCAAAGGCATTCACAAACATTTTGTTTTGTGAGAAGCACAGAATCTAAAGCAATCATTTTTTTTAATTTTAAGTAATTTTAAAAATTCAATTTTTTTTAAATTTTTGCGTCGTGCAAAGTTTTATTATTTTTGCACGGTGCAGTCATATAATGATTTTGCACGGTGCAAAGTCTATTTAAAAGTCTTTTTAAAAAAGCTATTGCCATTGTAGGCTACTAAATGACATTTTAGACATACTATAACTTTGAAAAAAAATTTTCAAAAACTTTTAAAATAATTTTTTAGTTTTTGCACGGTGCAGTCGCTTAATAACACTGCACGGTGCAATATTAAATAATTTTCGAAATTTAAATTAAAAAAATAAAATAAAGTTTTCACTTACATGTTGAACATTGATTTCATAGAAACAAAAACAAAAGTCTTGAATTGCAATACAGACGACCATTCGACCATACAGTTCCATCATACTGTTTTTGCCTCCACGAAAGTTGAAGACAACAATAATCAGCATCAGTTCTAGCATTAGGCCGATTGATAGGCCGAACATGTCCACACACCAGAAGAATTGAGAGACGAAACTCATCTTGCTGAAAAAGCAGATTTTTAAAAATTTTCAAAAAAATTTGAAGTGTCACGAAGCTTGATGTTGGTTATAGTAAAAATTCTCTATAGTCTAGTAAAAATTGAATACTATACAAAAAATACCTAAAAGAGAATAGAAAGAACAAAAAGTTGCAGAAAAAGCAGAATAAAAAGATAAAGAAGAATAAAAAGAAAAAAAAGAAAAAGGAAAAAAAAATAAAGCAAGAACAAAAAGGTGAAGCAAAAAAAATAAAAAACTAAAAAAAAAGTTTTGTCGTTTTAGCAATACAAATATTTGTATATAAACGACAAGACTTTTTCAATTCTTATAACGGCAAAATATTGATATTATATGCTGTGTAAAAGCTGTAACTTCAAATTTTAAGAAGTTAAGAACCAATATAAACGTTTGTTTTTAATGTCATGAGACAAGGATTTGGGATTGATATTGTGGTAGTACGTGTCAACGGACATGCACACCATATAGCACGAATTATAACGCGATTTATTGTATGTAGTATATAAATTGTCATATAGGTATGGAATATACACACTATTAAAAAGTAATAAGTATAACAAAATAAAACACGAAAATTTTCATATTAATTTGCTTTTTCCTACTCTACGTTAACATATACTACCGTACTTTAACATATACAACTATATCGAGATATACATGTATACTAGTTTGGCTTACTCTACCTTACCCTACCTTCTATTATACTACTGTATCATACTCTACTTTACGATATACAACCCTACCTTGCCAAATTCATCTCCACCATATCATATTAAGCGCTACCATACTATATACAACTCTACCTTACCATACTGCACAACCTTACCTTACCCTATTCTAAATTGCTCGGGCTTACCATACTTTACTTCTACCTTATCTTTTCTTACCATATCGTATCTTACTTCCATACATACAAATAAACATATACAAATGCAAATGATATTTTATACGCCCATATGTTACAAACATAAAATTACATCCTCCAAAATGTTCTATGATACAATTAAACACATGCGTAAAACAAAACGACAAATGTAAACACGTTAAACTGTAAACTGTTGTGTGCCACTACAGACAATAATCCAGAATCTACTTCAACGTCATACCAAATTATTAGTATTACATGCTGTTAACGGCTACAATAGCAGTTACCAACATGCATTACTGCGAATTTCGTCACAATATATTACCTAGTAGAATTTATTTTTTTACTAGGCAGTATCAACAAGTCTACTAAGTAAAATTTACTACAATATTGGAAATGCAAACAGACAATATCAAGTTGAAATATGTGGTTTATGCTGGTCAAAGTAACAATATACAAGTGTTTGCACGCGATTGTAATTGTACCTACAATGATGGCAAAGGGTATTGCTATAATTGTCATAATCTGCTTAAACACTGAACAACAACAGTGACATTTTGAAAAGTATTTGTAATTTGTAACAGGTAGGTCATAAAATTGCTTTATGAACATAATTATGAAGATAAAAAGATAAAAAAGAAGAAAAAGATGATAAAGCTTATAAACATAAAAGTATAGATAAAAATGTAACATAATACTAAGATTTATGTATTAACTATTTTAACTTGAATAAAGTAATATATATTACTTATTTATGTACCTTCAACAATAAACAAATGCTTCAAACCTCAAAAATCGTCTCAATTTAAAACAATGTTAGCTAAAAACTAAAACAATACAACTATAATATAATGCAAAACGTAGCGGAACTTCACACATATTGTTGTACATTACGCCATGTTTTAATCATCACTTTTAATCTACTCAAAAGGAAGTGGTGAAATAGGAGGTGAACTTAACAATGACATTGTGCCAGATAATATATTATTTTTAGAATATTACAATGAAAGGAAAAGGCAAAAGAAAACTAATTACAAAGATATACGAATTTAAAGCTTTAGCTTTAGTTTAGCCTTAGCCTTAGCCGTAGCCTTAGACATAGCCTTAGCTTTAGCTTTAGCCGTAGCCTTAGCCTTAGCCTTAGCCTTAGCCTTAGCCCTAGCCTTAGCCTTAAAACTAACCTTGACTTTAAACTTAGCGTATTGTGATCTTAACATTTTTCTACTAAGACCCTACCCGATGTATGTCTTATTTTACTATACCTTTGCTATATTCTAATTTTTAGTTTACTGTGGCTATATAAAGGTAAATCGAGTTTTATATACTACATAGTAAAAAATAACTATACAATGTTTATGTCTTTTTTACCTCTTTCTCACCTAAAAAGTAATGTCATAATGTAGCATACGTTACTCAACAATTCTGATTATTTACAAAAATAAACTTCATTTTATGAAACAAAACTGTAGCAAACTCTACAGAACTAAACGCAATTTATACTCGAATTCACGACACGCTACAAAAGGCTACAGCCGTTTTACTGAAGTATATTTTTACTGCTGTAAACTACATAATAATGTAGTCATTGCTATGGATATAAACAAGCGTTTTCTGGAAAAACTATGAAACCGTTGAGGTTTCTAGAATTCGCAGTAGAAAACATGTATTCTGAAGTATAAATAAGAAAACAAGAATTAGATACAATTTGATACACATATTTATAACTCAACACGCATAGAAAGAAATGTGTAGTACTGGCTACAAAAATTTCTGGATTTAACCATAGAACAGTTTTTTACAGTATCCTAACTTTAAGTTGTCCTATGTCGTTTAAGCCACTCTAGCTTGCCTAAGTCTGAAATTAAGTCTGAGTCTGAGCCTAAGCTTAAATCTGAACGTGATCGTGAACGTGAACTTAAACGTGAACGTGAATTTAAGGCTGAGTCTGTGTCTGAGATTGAACCTGAGCCTGAGTCTAAGCGTAAGGTAGAGGTTGAGTTTGAGCCCTCATATGTCTACGCTTATTGTTATGTTTAGGTTTGAGCCAGAGCCTTATCCTGACTGAGCCTGGACATAAACCAGCGCCTGATCAAGCGTTAGCTTTTCTAGTTTACAGTACTAAACCTTAGCTTTTAGATAAACCAAAGCCTATATGTCAATGTAAGTCGAAGCCTAAGCGTAAATCTCTATTTTATATTCGGCGGTAAGCTTTCCTCCGACAAAACTGCCTATTCACTAGATTATTGTAGCCCTTACAGTAACATATGTTTCAAAAATCCTAAAGTTTTGAAAAATGCAAAACTCAAAATCAGCAATCAACAGTACAGACAACACAATCGTGCTCACTTTGCTTTCTAAAGCTAACCCTACCACATATTTAAACCACGTTAAAAAAATGTATTATAGCGTGGCACAAATGTTAAAAAAACAAACGTGCCAAATCGAAGATTAAACTGATTTGTAGGTAGTACTGAATGTTGAAAATTGTATTTTCTTAGGTAATATCAAGTTATAAATTAAGGTTTTACAAGAAAAGACATAGTTTAATTTTGAAACATTGATTATTAATTGATTAGTAATTTTAATTTAAAAAACTTCCAGGTTTTGAAGTTTTATTACATTTTTGTGAAGTAGTTACTTATGAGCATGAGCATGAGCATAAGCATGAGCATGAGCATGAGCATGAGCATGAGCATGAGCATGAGCATGAGCATGAGCATGAGCATGAGCATGAGCATGAGCATGAGCATGAGCATGAGCATGAGCATGAGCATGAGCATGAGCATGAGCATGAGCATGAGCATGAGCATGAGCATGAGCATGAGCATGAGCATGAGCATGAGCATGAGCATGAGCATGAGCATGAGCATGAGCATGAGCATGAGCATGAGCATGAGCATGAGCATGAGCATGAGCATGACCATGAGCATGACCATGAGCATGAGCATGAGCTACAGTATATCTTACTTACAACCATATTTACTGCCACATACTGTTATTATATGTTTATACGTGTATAAAACATACTATAAACACAGCCTCCGCTACTTTTCGTAAATTGTAATGTAGCTACTGCAAGAAAACGTGGTAGAACTGTAAAATACTGCAATGAAGCGTGTTATCGCACGCTTTTATACTCGGTAAAACAAAAACAACCATGTGTTTGGATTGTAGCTGAATAAGTTTACTACAACTATTAGTATCGTGCAGTTTCTAATCATCCACATCGAACACGTGGTGTTTTGTAATCTGAAATGTCAGAAAACACGTTTTGACACTTGTGCGAGATAGCGTTATCAAGTGTTTGGATTCATAATACAATTCAAAGTTACACCGTATAACTTGGTTTTTAAGTCTTACATAGTTATTTAATATTTATTGTTTTTTGATAATGAGGTTTTGCTTTAGCCTTAGGTTTAATACTAGCTTAAGCACTATCTTAAACTTGAGCCTAGACTTAAGTTTAAGTTCGGGCATGAGCATGAGCATGAGCATGAGCATGAGCATGAGCATGAGCCTGAACCTGAACCTGAACTTAAGCCTGAGCATGAGCCTGGGCATGAGCATGAGCATGAGCATGAGCATGAGCATGAGCATGAGCCTGAGCCTGAGCCTGAGCCTGAGCCTGAGCCTGAGCCTGAACCTGAGCCTGAGCCTGAACCTGAACTTGAGCCTGAGCATGAGCCTGAGCATGAGCCTGGGCATGAGCATGAGCATGAGCATGAGCCTGAACCTGAACTAGAGCCTGAGCATGAGCCTGGGCATGAGCATGAGCATGAGCATGAGCATGAGCATGAGCATGAGCCTGAGCCTGAGCCTGAGCCTGAGCCTGAGCCTGAACCTGAACCTGAACTTGAGCATGAGCATGAGCATGAGCATGAGCATGAGCATGAGCATAAGCATGAGCATGAGCATGAGCATGAGCCTGAGCCTGAGCCTGAGCCTGAGCCTGAGCCTGAGCCTGAGCCTGAACCTGAACCTGAGCCTGAGCCGGAGCTTGAGCCTGAGGGTGAGCCTGAGCCTGAGCCGGAGCCGGAACCGGAGTCTAAGCTTGAGCCTGAGCCTAAGCTTGAGCTTTCGCTTGAGCTTAACCTTTAGAACTTTAGCCCTACTCACAGTTTTTTTGCTTAACGGTAGCTCTACTCGAAACTATGCAGTAGACATTATATACCATAGCTATAGCTTTAGTGCCAATTATGCTTTAGCCAAGTTTTATACTTAACATTAGCTTTAGCCTTAGTTCTAAACCAATTATCAATCTCAACTTAAAAATGAAACTAAAGGTACTATAGTCATCCTAACAAAACTTAATCGTATTACAATCATACTTTAATATACTACAACTCACAATCCAGACTATTAGTCTGAACATGCTAACTACATATTGTTATTACTACAAAAAACCAAATCAAGTTGTGCTAGAAAGTCGATTCAACTTCTACAAGCCACGTACATTATGTACGTTACGTACGTACATATAGTTTAAGAAGCGACTATTAATATCAAAATACAATGGCATAAAACACATTAAACATTAAGTGTTAAACCCTAGAACACAACGATCGTTGTAAAGTAGAAAGAGGTTGTAGCCTAACACCACATGGTGTTTACTTCTGTATGTTTTTGCGAATGGAAAGGAAAGTATCGTACAATTAATGTATAATACTGCAAAGTACCATCAAAAACAGTAAAGCTAATTCTTGCTAGCGGCTAATGGCTAAAACTAAGGCTAAAGCTAAGACAAGGCTAAGGTTAATTCTTGTAAATCTAGTCCTAAAAGTACTACAATATTTTCTCCTTGAATGTACAAAAATAGTATCAAGCTGACAGAAAAAAGCAAAGAAACACACTTTTCTGACCAAAGGTACGATATCCCGCATAAAGAACGGTGTAACGTTCTTTGTGCCAAGTGTAATATATTAGTGTTGGTAATGTTTTACAAGTGGATTTTATTACACAAAAACGTTGCAAAATGTTAAAATGTGTTCTCGAAAGTTTTCAACATACAAAATGATTTACGATGTTATTGAAAGAAAAGTTATATATATGAAATGTAAAATAATATTGTAGTAGAAAGATATGAACGTCACAAATGCACAATGGAGAATTTATACAACACAAAAATGTGGAAAAAGGCATTTTCCTACCCTACCCTACCCTACCCTACCCTACCCTACCCTACCCTACCCTACCTTACCCTACCCTGCCTTGCTGTCTTCTACTCTACCCTACCCTCTCTTACCGTACTCTATATACTCTACTCTACTTATCCTACCTTACCTTACCGTACTGTACTCGGCCGTTCTGCGTTGTACTCAGGCTTGGACGTAGGGCGTTGCCCCCTGTGCCCGACCCGGCCCGACCCTGGGGCCGGGCCAGGCCAGGGCCCATTTTTACGATCAATTACAGGGCCGGGCCGGGCAGGGCCCATGATTCTAACCGGGCAGGGCTTGCTTCGTGCCCGGTAATGCCCTGTAAATGCCCGGTAATAATTTTTTTACATATACAAAAAAAATTAATTTAAAATTGTTGAGTGTCTAACAAGTAATGTTACTTACCCCACTTCACTCCTGAACACTCTAGCTCTTTCCGACCTCATCCCTGATCCTTTTATCCCTACCCGACTTCAGCCCCCCTATTTTAACCCTACCGAACCTCACCCCTGACCCTTTTAACCCTACCCGACCCTACCTTTGACCTTTGTAGCTCTGCCCGTTCCTACGCTACCATATTGTATCTAATATGCCACACCCCGCTATACCCTATCCTATCTACCATACCAAACCCTACAATACCCTAACATATTATAACCCTACCATACAATACCATATCCTACCATACCATAACATACTACATATACCATACTGTATCATATCTTACCTTATCCAATCTTATACAACACTACTGTGTACTACCCATAGGTAGGGTAGAGTAGGTAAATAAAGCAAGATAAATGGTATAATATAGTCAGGTAGAGTATGGCATGTTATATATGTTAGGGCATTGTAGGATTTGGTATGGTAAATAGGATAGCATATAGTATGGTAGGGTATTGCAGGGTCTGGCATAATAGATAGGATAAGTTATGATATGGTAATGTAAAGTATTGTAAGGTTTGGCATGTTTTGTTTGGTGAGATGAGTATGATATAGTAATTAGCATAGGGCATGGTACAGTACAGTATGGAATTTTATGTAGGGTGGGTATAGTATAGTAGGGTAGGGTAATAAAGTCAAGGGTAGGGTTTAGTAAAGCTAAACAAATCAAAGGTAGACTTGGATAAAACTAAAGAGGTCAGAAGTAAGGCTGGGTAAGCCTAAAAAGGTCAGGGGTAAGGTCGGGAAGAGCTAAAAGGATCACGGTTAATGTCGGGTAGGGCTAAAAAGGTCAGGGTGAGGTCGGGTAGGGCGAAAAGGGTCAGGGGTGAGGCTGGATAGATGATATAAAGCAGTTTATTTCGCTTGTTATTAGCTTTATAAACTTAATTTACAAATGCCCTGTAAAACCCTGTACCGGGCAGGGCCTAAGCGGGCCCGGCCCCAGGGCCGCAAATTGGGCCCTGCCCTACGTCCAAGCCTGGTTGTACTCTAATGCACCTCATTATATTTTAACGATTCGTGCCTTATCTTACCTAAATTTACCCTACCATACCTAAACCTAACCTATTCTAGTAAAGCAACTGTGGCTATATAAATTTAACTTCTTTTATCATGCTTTATATACACTTCTATCTTCTTATGTCATCAAAAACATGTAAGTCATACATCCTTTCTACCACATCCGTTCTACCGTAATCCAACTAAGAAACAAAGCAAATTTCATAGTATCATAGATTACCATCAATCCCAACGTGCTATTTAAGTCCAATCTTATTACCTTTAAATTGGTATTAGTCTGACCAAGATGGAAGTAGTCCTTAGTGTTATAGGTAACGTCCTTAGTAAGATATTAGCAGTAAAAACAAGACGTACGCAGTAAAAGAATTAAAAAGTTAAAAAAAAACAAGACATAGTTAACATAAGATGTTAAGTAATTTCCGCAGTAAGAAAGAAGATGTTGCTCTTACCACGAACAATAAGATTAAGGTACTACTTAAGACGTCCGGATGTTGCTATGTCTATTACCTCGTTAACTTTTAATTAAAAACACGAAGATGGGTTCATTTTACTTTAATTTAGGTAAGACCGACATATCATAGTTAGACGTAAATATTTTTAACTATAACATACGTAGGTAAATGCTATCTATAATAGTATTGTAGACGTGCTATTATAAAAATGGTGTAGTAGTCGTAAGATTTTTTTGATGTTTTAGACATTTGTTCTATGATTACTATAGTATGCAAGGTACGACTATAGGTTAAAAATAGTATGAAAGTAAAAAAAAGTAAGATAGGACTGAGCTAGATAACCGTTAGGATAGGAGAAGGCTGATTGAGATAAGATAACGTAAAGCAAGTTAAGGTAAGGTAGAATAAGGTAATATACAGCAGGAAATGTACAAACGGAATAGAGTAAAGTATAGTTAAAGATGTAAAAATAAAATACAGTAGGATACTGTAAAGCAAAGCAGGGTACGGTTGAATAGATTAGAAGAATTTTAGCTGCGGAAGATTAATGTAAAGTACTATGTAACATAATAAGTGATAGGGTAAAAAAAGTAAGATAGAGTACAATAAGGTAGGAAAAGGCAGGGTAGGGCAAAACAGGGCAGGGCAGGGCAGGGCTCAATTTAAATAAAAAATTACAGTTTTATTAAATTACACCGTTACACACTCACATTACTACGTTTAAACCGTACATTAACTTTTAGGTTTCTAGGGTCTATATGTCATTTTATGGCAATGTTTAGATAATTACGTATCACTCATAATGTTTTATTAAGTAACAGCCAACTTTATGCGACGTCAGTAATTACTGTGAACTTCGATAAAAGTACGTATTATGTTATAAGTAGTGATTATAAAATTTCGTTTGGTATGGTATTAACTTATTTTCAGAAAACAAAACGTATATACAGTAAAAGAGATACGTGTAGTTTTAAATAATTTTAAAAATAAAAAAATTTGAAGAAAACGGCAAGAACTTTCTTTACAAGCCAAAAAATAGCAAGAACTTTCTTTACAAAACAAGAATGGCAAGAACTTTCTTTACAAGCCAAAAAATGGCAAGAACTTTCTTTAAAGAACAAAGAACGGCAAGAACTTTCTTTAAAGAACAAAGAACGGCAAGAACTTTCTTTACAAAACAGAAAATGGCAAGAATTTTCTTTACAAAACAAAAAACGGCAAGAACTTTCTTTACAAAAAACAACATACAGAATTTCAAAAAGTATGATATTACTACAACATGCTTGCTCTTTAAGCCCCTTTGACACGCTATTGTCTATAAAACAGTTTTTGTTTTTGTAAATTTTAAAGTGTCAAAGTAAAAAGTATGCAGGTTTCAAAACAAGATCACTTCCTCCACAACAGTAATGCCAAAAGTTGTTTCTGGGAATTGTTGTTGACAGAACGTGACTAGTCACATAATTTTTTTAATCTTATATCCTTGTACTGTTAACTGTACTAATAAGAAGATATCGTGACTAAACCTACAATTCTAATTTTTGTTGTTATAGGATATAGTTTATAGTGGTCATGATTTTTTTGTTTATATATCTAGTAAGCATAATACAAATATAACTATATAGTAATTTCCCAACTGTATGATTCGTACTGTAGTAATAATATTTGATTCGTACTGAAGAAATAGTATTTAGTTAGTATTGATAAGTAGAAAAAACAAGCTAGAGCAAAGCTACATAACTGATAGGATAAAGTAAAGCAGAGAAAGGTAAGGTAGAGTAGGGTAGGGTAAAACATAGTAGGATAGAGTACATTTGGCTAGGTTGGCTATTGTAGAGTTAAGTACAAAAGAGTAAGCAAAGTCAGTAAAAGTACGTGACTCTCTCTGTAGTAAGCAGATGTTTATTAAGTGATACCGTTCCTTTCTGTTCGAGCCAGAACAGAACGGTGGTAAAAAAAAAGTAATTTATTTAAAATTAGAACAGTCGTTTCTATGCTAATATTTAAAACACGGTTATTGTTATGGTTGTGACAGAGTTCTCCGGTCCCATGCTTTCAAATTTTAGGCAAAAAAGTTCTTAGCCTTGCCTACCTTACTCTAACACACTCTACCCTACCCTACTCTACCTTACTCTATCTTACCCTACTTTACTCTACCATACTCTACCCTACTCTACCCTGCTCTACCTTACTCTACTCTAAATCACGTTAAAATACACTTACATATATACCCTACCAAGTTTAATTAAAACACTTACAATTTAAGGACCTCCATATTACTTTGCTTAATTAATGACATTTGTTTGTTTGAACAGTACCATCTGTATAAACAAACATCACGTGTTGGTACGTTTGTCACGTTGGTGTTAAAAAGATTAACTTTAGTTTTCGACCGTTCATAGTTTAGATTCAGAGTTCAAACTCAAAGTTTAAAAATTGTGTAATATTAATGACAGTTTTAAAAACAGCTGGGTTTAAAACTAGCGGAGTAAAATTTTTTACAAATATTTTGTTTACAAAACAAAAATAGGCAAAAACTTTCTATACAGGATAAAAAATGGCAAAAAATTTCTTTACAAACTAAAAAATAACAAGAACTTTCTTTACAAACTAAAAAATAGCAACAACTTTCTTTACAAAGCATAAAATGGCAATAACATTCTTTACAAAGCACAAAAAACGAAAGAACGTACCCGTGTAACTCGTCGTTTAGAGCGCGCAAAATTTAAATATATTAAAATTCTTTAAAAATAGCATGCCTGTAAGAACTCACGCATGTATGTTACCGCTTGACTGTAAAAACATTTTTATAGGAAATTAAGTTACCATAAAAATGTCTGTAAACCGTGTAAACTGCAGCTGTTCACAATTTGATGTCCTTTAATCAATGTTTTTGGTTCCTGGATTGTAGCCTTTTTTTGAAAAATGTAGATATTTTGTGTGTAAGCACCGAAGATACTATTATACCACAATGAGAGCCAGGCGTTGGGGGGGGAGGGGGCGGGGGGGGGGAGAGAAATTTTTTGAAAAAAAAGTTGAACGTGGTCCCCCCTTGTAGATTTTTGAAAAAAATTTTTTCCACTTTTCGACCTCCGCCCCCATACCAAAAGTTCCCGCTCCGCCCGGCCCTGACCGAAATTACAAACGCTACACTTAAATTCCATTGTCAAAGTATAGTTGATGTATGAGGTAAATCGGAGTTCTGTATAACAAATCTCTTGAAGATATAAAAAAAAGAAAAACGTTATACACGAGTACCACTGTACACCTATTTGAAACCATAGCTCAACAATAACAGAATATTTGTAATAAAAGTGCATGCACACCTACAACTTACAGATTGCGTTTTGTGACATTATGCATCAATCATTATACATGCCTTGTTAAAGTAAGCAAAATACTACAGATTTACATTAGCTTTACTCTAGCCTCTACCGTAGCCGTACTCTAGCTCTGCCTTAGCCATACCGTAGCCCTACCCTAACATAGACTTAGAATATTACGCTCTTAAGTCCTAATGGCTGTACCTGTATCTTAACTTTACTTTTGATTAACAGAACTGATACACTACTATGACTTCATTGTAAGTACATTGCGACTGTGTCTTTACCGTAGGTATACTACACATCTATTTTACTTTAGCTCCCTATCTACATTACTCTATTTTACTTCGACTAGACTTGCTCTTCCTATACCTTGCTAGTAAAGTTATGTTTACATCCTGTTATTAGCATGCCTACATACAGTAAAATATAATTTCAATATAACTATTTTTGTACCTATGGCTAATGAAAAAATGAAAACATGTTACAGTGTAAAATTGCATGTAACAAATCTGAACGACATACAAAGTATATATAACGTATGTGTTCAAAAATTTTGCAAGAATAGCTACATATACGTTGAAAATTGCATGTTTAGTTTAGGAAAAAACAAGGTTTGTTTATAAAAACATTAAACCGTCATTAAATAACAATTAACAACGTTATTTTAAATTGACTAATCTAGAGATCAGTCTTGGGCCTGTAATTAAAAAATAAAAATACTGTGTTTTGTACTAACAAGGATAGGGCAGGGTAAGATAGGGCAGAGTAGGGTAAGATAGTGCAGAGTAGGGTAGGGTAAAGTAGAGTAGGGTAGGGTAGGGTAGGGTAGAGTAGGGTAAGGTAGGGTAGGGTAGGGTAGGGTAGGGTAGGGTAGGGTAGGGTAAGGCAGGGTAGGGTAGGGTAGATTTTCTTTACAATATGATTTTACATTACCATCATATACATTTTATTTCATTTTAAAATAAAAAGATAACTCGACGAGGTAGATAATATTTACATTACTGTAACTCGACGAGTAATGGAGCTACAATAGCAATCAATACAGTTTCTGAAAACCCATGAAAAATGACATCTTATGTTAGTTTTGCGACAATATCTTATAAAGAGTTTTTTTGGGGTACTCTTTTAATCTCACATTCAAGCCCTTATGTCTATTTCTATCCCTCCTCCTATATAGAATGCTGCTGATCCTTCTAGATGCTGTTAGTTTTATGATATCTATAATAGTTTTTGAGGTATGAGTTTGGCGGGAGAAATAAATTCAAAAATCCGGACCAGACTCAAAAGACAAACAAACCACTGGCTGCAGTCAAACGGAATAGGAACCTATCTAACACAATAACGAAAAAGATAAGGGTAGGCGAATAAGAAGAGGTTGGACGTTTATATTATATAAAGCGTTAAAACTTGACCTGCCGTCCAAGTTAATCAACAGTTTTGTAAAGGCATTGAGACAATGGTTCAATTTATACACTTAGGATTGAGAAACGGGCAGTGTCAGCCAAGCTTGACAAGTAAAGTAGAGCTCAAAAATTTTTTTTTAGTTTTGTTTTAATTCATGTAAGGGGGTGGGGAAGGGGTGGTATTGCTCTAGAAAAAAAATTTGAAAAAAGGTTGAATGTGGCCTCCTTGTGGATTTTCGAAAACACAAGTTGTTTTAAACTTTTGTTTTACAAAATACATTATCGCTATGTTTATATTCTTTATGTTTTAGACAATGAGTTCATCGATGGAGCTGAATCTGCTAGAAAAGCGGCAACGAAAACTGCAAGGACACCTGAATTGGCTTAAACGTATGTATTTGGGTTTTGATTTAATTAGTAAACATTGATTTAGAGTTTTAAAATACCAATGATGTTTCAAACTTTAAAAAAACAACAGCGTAACTTTAAACATGGTTTTATAAAATACCGTATAACTCCCTGTTATTAAAGTGTGATTTTATGATGATGTACAACAATTCCTTTCATAGATTTTGTCTTTTAAAGTTGAATTATCAGAAATCGTGGAAATACCTCATGGCCTAGAAGCTTTCAAAAACCAATCTTTCACCGACTTTAAGATTTTAGTTGGCAAAAGGACATTCCTTGTGAGTTTTCTTGTTTTTGTTTCCGTATCTTATGTATCTTTCAATCTTATTTGAAACAAGCTTAGAATTGGGTTTTTAGCTTTATTTAACTAATTTTAGGTATCAAAAGTGATATTGGCGATGAAATCAGAAGTTTTCAAGACAATGTTTGAATCTGGAATGAAAGAAGCTCACACTGGTGAACTGATCTTAAATGATGATGATGAAGAATCAGTTGAAGCGATGTTACTCTTTATTTATGGCAACAAGAAGGTTGAGGATTTTACTACGGCTGTAAAAGTTAGACCTTACACTATCATGGTTTCAGTCCAACGGCTACACTTCGAAATATGTTTTTTGTTTGATACGTTTAGTTGAACATAGTATGTATAAAAATTTATTTTTCAATTGTACATACAAATATAATTAGTGAAAAAATAAATTATACATCAAACTTATTGTAGTAAACAAATATATATATATACAACTCTAACAAAATGAACTTTTTCAAAAAGCCTCTAAAACAATATGGCACTTCAAATTTTTACCGTAATTTTTTAAAACTTAGTACATTAGGTTTTTTAAATAATTCTATGCCCCCTGTAAAAGCAACTTTTGGGGATTAGAGGCACAGAATTACTTGTACAACAAAACAGTTTCAAAAAATTTAAAATCTAGTAAATTTGGACATTCTCCGATGTAAGTCAAAGTTGGATTTGGCATCAGATACACCAGAAGAGAAGGTCGATTGTCTCCTTGGACCAATCTTCTGCCTAGTCAACCTTCTAGCCATCTTCACCACAGCTCGACGGTACGGCACGATAAAGTAGATGATACATATGTAATCCACAATACTGTGAACAGATGTCAACGCCTCCATAATCAATGTAACCGCTTCACCGTGCACAAATCCCACGGTAAAGCCGAGGCAGTCGAATATTAATGGAAACAACTCGAAGACATAGTAACTGACTATCTGCACACTCAACGCGTAGAACAACATGAACTGAAGTTTGGCCGTCCTCTCGCTAAGCCTAACTTTGTTCGACATCAGCTTCTTGTGCAACATGATCAACATAACACCACCAACAATGGCAAACAGTATGAGTAGCATTGAAGCGCCGAAACTAATGAAAATAGCCGGGAATCCACTGGCTACACAAATAAAAGGCACGGTCGAGTTCTGGAGATGAGGTACACGAAGTGCTAGCTCGGCATCAGCTTCAGCTGGGTCTGTGATTTGAATGGCACGGAGTGAGCCCATGAAACTGATAGAGGCTATCACTTGGAACATAGCGAAGCCAATGTAGAAACGCTTGGAATTGTCCAAGTGGTACTGTAGGCTTCCCATTTGGGCCTGAAAATAAGAGGAATTAAATTTTGAATTTTTTTTAAATTAAAAAAAATTTTCAATTTTTTTGTTCTTTTACTATTTTCAAAGCAAGAAAAGTCTTGTCTTTTTTTATTGTGCAAGCCAATGTAAATTGACGACAAGACTTTTTTTTACTTTTTCAGACTATTTTTTGTAAATTTAGGTAGAGCATTTCACTTTTTGAGTAGGGCATAGCTTTTTTGAGTGAAGCAAAGTACGTTTTTAAGCAAAACATGGCTATTTTTGAGTAGGCATGAAATTTTTTGCGTAGGGTGTTCCACTTCTTTGAGTAAAGCACGTTACATTTTTGAGTAAAACATGACATTTTTAAGCAAGGCAAGGCACTTTTTAGGATAGGGCATGGCATTTTTTAAACATTAGTTTTGAAAAATTAAAAAAAGTGATCTATGACTTACAAAAAGAAATGTCACAGTTACTTTAAGTGCGTTAATAAACTTATTTGGCCTAAGGCCAAATAAAATTTAATGTGTGGTTTTAGAATTTTGTGAGATACAGTAACTTTATGGCTTAGTGAACAATTTTAACTTGTTTGTAATGTTATACAAATTTTTAGTTGTCAACTCATTTTAAAAATGTCAATATGTAAGCAAAAAAAGTCTTGTCGTCAACTTGCACATGTATTAAAAAACGACAAACTTTTGTAATTTTTTAATAAAGAAGTAAAGCTTATTTAAAATTGTGTTGCCTGCTCTGCTCTGCTTTGTCATGCTGCCCTGATCTCTCGCGTTTTTCTTTGTTTTTTCTACCTTGTTATACACTGCCCTTCTGTTGGTCTCAATACGGAAGTTAAACCTAATTTAAAATTAAAAAAGTATTAATTTTAAAGCTATTTTTAATTAAAAATTTAAAAACCTGCATTTCAAATCCCCTAAAGATTAAAAATTCCACTTACATGTGCAAGCCGATACAATATAGTACAAGCCATACTAGCTAGCACGTTCACAATGCCAATAGTGAACAGATACATGGCAAAAGAGCTACTGAAGGGTAGGGATGGGAAGAAGGGTTCAAAGTGGACACAAGCCGCTGGGAAGTGTAAATGAATCTTACAGTACCAAAAGGTTATCGTAAGTAGTACACACCAAAATATATTGTTCATGAGGAAGTATTTGTAGCGTTTTATGCATTTAGATTGAGTGAAAACTAGGTAGAAGAGGAGTGGCACGATGAAGATGGAGAGGTACATACAAATGTCGAGGATGAGTTTGCAATAGTAGTCGATTAGGGGGTTGATTGGTACTGTTTGGGTGAAGTTGTGCATGGTTGTAAGGCTAGGTGTAGATGACTTGGATGTATATTTGGTAAAAAATAGATTTTCAGTTGGTTTTTGATATTGTAGTAAGAATAGTAGATCAAAAATATGTTTTTTCAAGCAATTGTCGATATTGTAGTAGGTATAGTAGAGCAAAAATTGATTTTTTAGTAAGCCCGTAATATTATAGTAGTTATAACAGATCAAAAATATGATTCATATACCAGTATAACCAATATAGTACCAATAAACTAGTACTGTACAACTTTCAATGCAATAAAGTTACAGTAATCCAATGGCCGCTGAGGTAACACAAATGTAGGTATCGCTAGAGGATTACCCAGGTGTATATAGTCAAATGCTTTGTACTGAGATCTGAAAAGACTCACAGTAAAATATGTCTACACATATGTCATTACAATAAACACCATAGAAATATAAGTAATAGAACGATAAATACACGCAAATCCAATGGTCGTATTGTGCCATTTATATTGTTATGTACAATATAAATTGGACTTCCGGATTGAGTCTACATTACGTAATAATATCGTATGATGTTTTGTAAAACAAAATGTTTTGTACGGTGAAACTTTTGTATAACAGAGTGCTGTATGACAAAACTCTGGTACAGTGATCTCTCTATATAGTGAACCATCTGTATAAGCAAATCTTCTTATAGTAAACAAGAAATTTGGCCCAGCCAATTCAATTTGCACTAAAAAGTTTTTCTGTAAAGACAACACCCCTTATAGTAAACATAAAAGGTCGGTCCCTACGGGCTGCTTATATAGAGAGAGTACTGTACAAAGGTTTTAGAATGCACTGTAGAGCATACGCCGGAAATTCAAAAGCTTTTTGTCATACAGGGTCTTCGTTATAAAGGAGTTCGTTATATTAGAGAGACACTGTATAATTACAAAAATGCAATTGCAAGCACCAATTTACATGTAAAATACAAGAAAACGTACAGTGTTTAAAACTGAACGTACGTTTTTATAGGTAAAATGTTTTTTTGTTGACAAGTACAATAACCGTGACCCAGCTACTAAAAAAAATTTCACGAATTTTCAACTTACCTACAATTTTTTTCGTATTGACTCCAAAAACCCCCTCTACCCCCTCCACTTCTAGCTAAGTTCTTAACTATTGTAAACACTTTACAACTGTAGGCTACAAAGAAATCAGCTTTAAGCCTGCTCTGTACAGCCATAATATATCCTGCTGTGTTATGTCTTGACTTGTCTAGAGACTGTGTTTATTTTTACTGGTTAAAATACGATATAATAGCCCAGCATAAGGTTTAGTACTATAGATTAACATAAGTTAGAGTATATTCGATCGGTATAATAAGACTAATCTGAATTCCCGTTAGGCTATACAAAAAGTTTTAAATTACGAGCACTACAAGTTCGTACAAGTACAATATTCGCCAAAGTTTATGTAGTACTACTAATAAATAAACCGAAGTTTTCACAAAGTGCAATAAGCTAATTGTAAACTGGCCAAAATTATACTTTAACAAAATTACATTTGACACTTGAGATAAAAATTTAATCTGAGCCTACAGAGATAAAATAAGACACTCTCATGTTAACCTAAAGTATAATAAGGCACTCTATGATAATATAAACTAAAATAGGACACTTTATGTTAATATTATGTATGATATATCAATCTTGGCGCTATTTAATTCATTAGTAAGTAAATGGTAATTCGATTCAAATGGCAATTGACTGGCTCGTTTCAAGCTTGAGACATGTATAATACATACATGTACGTATACGAAAAACTTCTACTCTTCACGTCCCACCCTTTAAATGCCCTACCTTCACCTTGCCCTACTCATTATATACTTTTACCCTGCTCGAACCTTTATATGCTTTGCCCTTTTTATGACATACTTTTTTAATATTTTACCCTTCCTACACGCTCGAAAAAAATTTAGAAAGTAGTTGAACGTGGTCCCCCCTGTGGATTTTCGCAACTAAACCTTTTTTTTTACCCGCGCCCCCAGCCAAAAGTTCCCACCCGGCCCTGTAGGCGATACGTTTTTCATGCCCAACTCTTATCATGCCTTACCCTTTCCATAACCTATCCTTTCTATGCTTTAATACTGCCCTTTCCTGTTTATTTCCTATCCCCCCCCTACTCTTTACTGATCAAAGAAAACCAGATTACCTTAACAAAATTACAGTGTTTAACTCTTCCCGTCCTCACTCTAAAACATTATTTTCAAACCCAAGAAGATGTGTTGTGAACTATAATAAAAACAATTTAAATTATGAAAGTCAAACTTTTGCCGAACGGTACAAACCAATTAAAGCGCGGAAACAACATTTTTTGGAAAAGTGGAGGAACGGCAGGGAGAGGAAGGAAGGGTGGTGTTGAACATACGTGTTTTAAGTAGGGATGGAATTAGCAAAGATCACTTTATATACACTATAAATAGGATAGTTCTTAAAGTACTAGAAGCAATGGTAAGTGAGATAAAATAGAGCATGGTAAGGCAGGGTAAGGCAGGATAGAGCACTACAGGGTAGGACAGTGTAAGGGCAAGTCAAAGTAGGAAAATAAAGGAAAGGGCAGAGCAAGGCAGGGCAGGGCAGGGAAGGGCAGGGCAGGGCAGGGCAGGGCAGGGCAGGGCAGGGCAGGGCAGGGCAGGGCAGGGCAGGGCAGGACAGGGCAGGGCAGGGCAGAGCAGAGCAGGGCAGAGCAGGGCAGGGCAGGGCAGGGCAGGGCAGGGCAGGGCAGGGCAGGGCAGGGCAGGGCAGGGCAGGGCAGGGCAATTAAAAAATGGCATTTTAAAATTTTTTAAAATTCTTATTATGACTAATCCATTCTTATCCCTTATATACCGTTCTATACAAAACAATATGGCATGATACGTCAATATGTCTCAATATGACATATACACTTATACTGTAGCTTATAGTAACTTCTGTTCTAGATATCGTTTTAATAGGATTACAATCTTCATATTGTGATTTTATCAAATAGTCTACGTATCAATTTATACAAAAGAAGTAACAAGAAGTTATTTACACACAGTAATCTATAGTCTACCATATACAATAATACTCACTATACCTTATGTTATTCCTATTGTACAGTTAAGCCGTTTTGAAGAGAAGTCAGCCCCCATAACTATCTTCAAAAGAGGCAGTTCTACCATATTTTCACTGGATAACAAGACATGACTGTTACATTCCTTGTGGTATAACAATGATACAGGTAATATCTTTGTTGTTCTACATCAATGACATATATTTACACTATATTCAAATATCTTTACAACTGACTGACAAAGGTAAACAGGACATGAAATTAAATAAGGTAATGCCAGAAAGGTATATAAAGATGTGACTGTAACGTCTAGCCATAGTCATAGTCTTAATCTTAGTCTCAGCTCCAGCCTTAGCCTCAGCTTCAGCCTTAGCCTCAGCCTCAGCCTCAGCCTTAGCCTTACAGTAACCATATCCGTCACACCCTAGCCCAACCCAGCCCACTCTTCTGCCTTTCCTGTAGTCACTTACCTCAACAATTCCTCATCCAAAGTTAGCCTAATCTACCCAATCTACGACATTTATTGTACGACCACCCTCAAGGCAAAAGCGAATGAAAAGTGCCGTTTGAACTTGGTTTTACGAAAAAGTTCAAACAATAACCGTTGAATATTCTAATAATGTGTCTCAGGTTTTAATACCTCATTATTAAGAATGACTATGCTACGACATTCTAGCCAATCATTGTTCAATAGATTCTTACATTGCTACATGAGTAACTTGTTACATGAATAAATATATTTGAGTTTTGAAAAGCATGTCTAATATACTAGATTACCGTACTGTATTTTTACTGTAGCAAAAATTATTTATTACATTTTTTATATGAATCTATTAGGGATATAAGGCAGAGCGTAGAAAACGCAAAAAAGTTTCACTGGCTCTAGCCTCAGCCTCAGCACTAGCCTCAGCCCTAGCCTCAGCCCTAGCCTCAGCCCTAGCCTCAGCCCTAGCCTCAGCCCTAGCCGCAGCCCTAGCCTCAGCCCTAACCTTAGCCCCTAGCCTCAGCCTCAGCCCTAGCCCCAGCCCTAGCCTCATCCTTAGCCTTAGCCCTTGCCTCAAGCTTAGTCTCAGCCCTAGCCTCAGCCCTAACCTTAGCCCTAGCCTCAGCCTCAGGCCTAGTTTCAGCCCTAGCCTTATCTTTAGCCTCAGTCCTATCTACCACAGTAGCCTAAGTCTTGGCCTCCAGCTCAGCCTAAAAGACAGCTATAGCCCTGCGCAAACTCTACCATATTCTGACCTAACCCTAACTCTTACCGTGACGCATATTGCTGTCTTACTGTACCCTATTAAAAACACCAGGCAACTAATACCTAAAGCTAGTTTTAATCCTAGCCTTACCCATGATTTACTAAGACAATACCCTTTCTTTATCACCATTTCTACCATGCCCTTATAACAAGTGAACGTAAACTCATATAATACTCCACAATAAAAGTATCCCTGCTCTGAAAATTACCCTACCCTAAAAGTAAACCTCCTCTTTCCTGTCCAACCCCGCTCTAGCTAAACAAAGTTCAAAAATGAAGCCCTGTAGAAACTAGTCAACACTATAATAGCAGGTGTAATGTCCAATGAATATAAAAGTAATAAACCGCACGTTTCTAACCTACCACAATATTATATTTTGAAAGGTTTAGTGACCGCCTTATACATTTAATATTTGGACCTATACACTGCCCTTGAAAGATCTTGTAAACAGCCTGTGACATTACTAATCAAGCTTTCTAATAATAGAAAGAAACTTTAAATTATGCTAGTATTTGTCAACAAGGACATGGGTTATAAGAAAACTGCAAAGTAAATGAGTACTTTTAAATACCTAACCCCAGAGCCCTAGACCGGAGCCCTAGCCCAAAGCCCTAGCCCAAAGCCCTAGCCCAAAAATCCTAGATTTAGCTTTAGTCTAGTCACGTTCAGCCTTACCTAAGCCCTTGAATTTAGCCCTAGCTCGCGAATAAGCTCTGTTATCGTAACCTTGACCTGGTCTTACCTATATGTACTTTTATCTAAGCTACAACTGTGTCCTATCTTTACCTTACTCACAAACTCACTATAGTGTTCCCTTCCTCTTGCAATGCCTAACCCATTTAGCTAGCCCCGGCTCTAAATTAGTAAAAAGTAAAGTATAGCTCATAAACTATGGCACAAAACTCAAAAATAGTCGCATTATGACCAAAAAACAATTTCAAAACAAAACTTTTCTTGCCGTTTTAAACTTTTATGGGTTTACATTCACCGTTCTGTTAAAGTATCTACGTTATTCACAGTTGCAAGAAATAACATTGACGCACGTTTTAAAATTAGCTTTTTAAAAATAAATCTTTTTTATGCAAATTAAGCCTAAATTAACTTACAGTAACAAAAAAGAACAAAAAATTAAGGTTTTTGGTCTTGTAAAGAAAGTTATTGCCATTTTTTGTTTTGTGAAGACAGATCTTGCCGTTTTTTGCTTTGTAAAGAAATTTCTTGCAATTTTTTGTTCTGTACAGAAAGTTCTCGCCATTTTTCGTTTTGTAAAGAAAGTTCTTGTCATTTTTTGATTTGTAAAGAAAGTTCTTGCTTTTTTTGTTTTGTAAACAAAGTTTTTACACTTTTTTGCTTTGTAAAGAAAGTTCTTGCCATTTTCCCTACAAACCCCCCTCCCCCTTTAATCTTTTAAATGTTCTTTTAAACTGCTAAGTATAAAAAATTTTGGTTTTTAAACCGAATACTATGAACTTTTTCAAATTCTCATCTTCAAAGCGTGAGAACAATAAATAAAACCGCATTAACAAAGTCTGAAAGCTATAAACAATAACATCTTTGTCCTCATAAAGAACTGAAAATAGTTCAATCAAACTTGAAAGTAGACCTTTTTCAAAGACTTTTTTACACAAAATAGCAAAAACTTCCTTTACAAAGCAAGAAATGGCAAGAAATTTCTTTAAAAAACCAAAAATGATAGAACTTTATGGTACACGTTTCTATTACAATAAAACGCAAAAAAAAAATAAAAAAATATATAAAACGCTTCCGCCCTTATTTAAAAAATGTCATTGTATGATAGTGTTACTATTAATGAACTGTTTTTGCAAGTTAACAAACAGATGTAATGAAAACGAGTCTATTTGTTGCAAAAGAAACTTAAAAACCTTATTAGATAGATTAAATGACATGGCATAGAATAACACAATCGAGTTATAACAAGGAAGTTGCAAAGAAATGTTTAGTAATGACAAAAAACAATAAAAGTTTGCGTATGCGACATCATAGTCAATAAACAATAATAAAGTTTCAAAAAATTGTAGTTGCGTGAGAAAAACTAGTCGTAAACAGCTCTACCCTAGCTTATTCTAGGCCTAGTTTAGCCGTTTTCTATTCTTAGCATTTGCCTAAACCTCAGCCTGGACTTGAGCCTGAGTCGGAGCCTGAGCTTTATCCTGGGCATGAGCCTAAGCCTGACCTGAGCCTGAGCTTGCACCTGAGCATGAGCCTGAGCCTGAGCTTTAACCTAGGCTTAAGCTGAAGCCTGACCTGAGCCTGAGCATGAGCATGAGCCTAAGCCTGAGCCTGAGCCTGAGCCTGAGCCTGAGCCTAAGCCTGAACCTGAACCTGAACCTGAGCCTGAGCCTGAGCCTGAGCCTGAGCCTGAGCCTGAGCCTGAGCCTGAACCTGAACCTGAACCTGAACCTTAGACTGTAGCTCATGCTCAACCGCAGTTTTAGCATTGCAATGACCATACTCGTCTGGACCTAGTCCAACCTTCCCAATCTTCTCCCTTTCCTACAGCAATCCTTCTATACCATAAGAACTAAAACTAACTTCTCAGTAATCAACCATATGGTTGCAAGTTCACTAGTACCAAATTCGTAATGCTTTTTAAAAAAATAGAATTGTATATTTTTTCAAAAACACAATACGTTTTTAATCTGTAAATTGCCGCAAAAATGCTCGTAAAACGTTTTTCGGAATATAACATTACTATCGTCATCTAATTGATCTAATCATACTAGTTGTACGTAAAATCGGCCCCTCTCTTAAAAAAAGCTGTTTACCCTACCCTACCCTACCCCACCAGTATTTTAAAATTAAAAAAAAAACAAATTTACAAAATTTTTTTGGGTCCCAACACGAAAACTTTAAAAAGCGCACTGTTTCGGTTTTCAGCTGCTATAAGTCATAAGAAGCTAATCGATAGTGGCACTTTAGAATTTAAAAATTGTAAAAAAATAATGTGTATCGTAACCTACCATACTCTACCCTGCCCAACCATTTTCTACCTTATCCTACTTCATTCTATGTTACATTATCCTACTTTACTTTACCTGCTTCTAGTCCTCCTAACCTATCATATTTCTAGACCTGCCTATCAGACCAAACCGTGCCGTTATAATTTTTCTTCCACCCGAGAGCCAGGTATATCCTACTCTCTACTTATATCAATAATGACCCCAAAGCTGCGTCAACAACCCTCGCAAAGTCAAGTCTAGTCACTGCAATTACAATACCTCAAGATTACATTAGAATCACAAATTACAAGTCGCTAGGCACAAGTTACAAATCACTTTGGCATCACGTGTAAACAACACTAATTAGCCTCCAGAATCGCTTATTCAAGGTTCTGAAGAAACTCGAACGTATACCTAATGCTACAATAAGAAAACAAAAAACAAGGTAATTTTCAGTGGAAAAGGGCCATTAAGCGATTAAATAAAACTTATTACGCCATTACCCAAACATGGGCATCGGAATACAAAGTACGTTGACTTTTGAAACAAAATGCTCACTTCAGAAGCTAGTGTACACAAAACGGGCTTCAGAGCTACTATACAACAGACTAAGACTGGCTTCAGAAGCTGGTACTTGAAGGACTGGCTTCAGAAGCTAGCATATGAAGAATACTGGCTTCAGAAACTTGTACACAAAAGACTGAATTTGGAAGCTAGTATTTTAAAAGCTCGCTTCAGAAGCTAATCTTTGAAAAACAGACATTAAAAACCAATATGATGATCTCTCTATATAGTGTGAACCATCTGTGCAAGCAACTCTCCTTATAGTAAACAAGAAATTTGACCCCGTCAAGTCAAGTTGCACCAAAAAAGTCTCTCTATAAAGACAACACCCTCTATAGTAAACGCGATATGTGGGTCCCTTCGGGTTGCTTATATAGAGAGAGTACTGTATATGAAAGACTGGCGTCAGAAGCTGCTATTTAAATGACTTGATTTAAAAGTTGGGTTTGTGAACTCTGCCCTAGAAACTACAAATGCTTCAATTATAATAGAAGTAATAGGTCTAGAACTATTTTTGTGAAATAAACGTGTCGTATTACATAACAAAAACACTATAACATTAAAGTCTGTAATACTGTTACACAGTTGAAACTCAGGTAGTAAAATAAAGAAATGTTACAACTAAAAATTGAGTTACAATTAGACAAACGCTAGAGTAAAGCTAAAGCAGGGCTTGAATAAAGCTACACAAAAGTTAGGGCAGAACTACAGTAAGACAAAGATAAGGATATGGTAAGGTTAAAATAACACATAAATAGAGGTGTGGAGGGCAAAAGTAGAACTAAGGTAGAGCTACGATAAGTCTAGGCTAAAGCAAATTTAGAGTAAAGAGTTTATCAGGTTAGCAAAAAAAACTAAAGCAATGCTAGCAACTATATTTGTATTTTTTCATACATCGACAGTATCAAGAAGTATCAAATTTCATTTAACAATGTTTTACATACTCACAAACTTTATCGTATCTTTCATTCTAAGTTATCAAGGCCGGGCAGGCACTTGTAGTCTAAAGGCGGAAAATCGAAAAAAAAAATTTTGCGAAAATCTACAGAGAAACCATGCCCAACGTTTTAAAATTTTTTTTTGGAAAGGGGTACTGTTCCTCTTGTTCTCCCTCTTCCTTCCCCCCCCTCCCCCCCCTCCCCCTTCACGCTCGGCCCTGCAAGTAACCATTATTTAAATTTTCGGTAACGATTGATCAAAACACTAGCAAAGCTCTCAAAATATTCCTTCGTTATTCGTACGAAACTTTTAAGCAGGCCTGAGCGTCGTAATGTCGACTCTTTATTAAAGGCCTTTAACCCTTGCCATTTCTCCATTATTTCGAGACGCTTTGAGCTTACATATCTTGCCCTGCTTTTTAAAATTACTAGGTTTTTATAATTTAAATAGACTTTTTAACAGTTGTAACTATAATACTTCATAAAATGAATGGGGTTTGTCAATATCTGCCAAATGAAGTGAGTTTTGTTAACAAACGTTGTTGAAAAATAAATATTAGGTCCGACATAAAAAACCCGCCATACTTTGCCTGTAATTTCTTGTAAAAAATGGTGGGTTCTTTATGTCGGCACCTAATATTTTATATGTATATACTTTCATATTTATTTTTATATTTTTATATTGATTTTTTTCAAATTTTTATATTTTTTGATTTATATTTAATTTATATTTATTTTTATATTTATTTTAATTTTTTTTTATTTTAAACTTTGTTTTTAATAGGTATGGCAAAAAATCTTTGCTGGAGTGTCCTGCATTGACAGCTTGGCATCGCTGGCTTCAATTGACAAAAACTTTTACAAATTAATTAAAAGAGATTTCAAAAAGATGTGCTATCGAAATTGTATATTTCGCTTTGAAGGAGAAACGTGGGCTATGGCTTTTAGTTGGTATGTTTTCTATAAGACTCTATCCCACACTCTTACAAAGAAAATATTCCACCTGCGCCACTCAGAATCAGCTCAAAATTTTTATACGGATTCTTTGTAGTACAAGTAGCACATAGACGAAATCTTAGCTTGCAGTTTTAAGTTGTAAAACTAATAAATTTAAATTTCCCGCCAAATGTGGCAAATTTGGCATTGTGTTGCAAGAACTTTTTTTGATGTTCCAGACAAGAAAGGCTTACAAATTTAAAATTGCAGGTTCATTTGAAACTTTTATATCATTATATTAAAGAAAAATAGTTAAAAGTCAAAAATGAGGAATTTATAAGCTTGAAACACAATGCCAATTTGGCGGGAAATTCAAAACGCGATTTTTAATCTCGATTTTCTCAAGACTGGCTGCAAACCGCAACTTAGAATTTTGCATAAGATCTTACTTTTGCATAATCTTTCAATAAAAAAAGTTTAAACGAAATTTAAGCGTTGCAGGTCCTTCCTTGTTATGCTCACAACAAAGCTAACATACCTAAAACAAACGTTTTTAAAAAATTATTAACCTATATTTACTCTAGGGTAGCTCAACGTGTATTCAACCTGACTTCTGATGACAGTGCAAAAGTCTGTATTCATAGTGGGAAAATGGTGTTTTGCTTAAAACCACATTGTGCTATACTCTCTCAAATCGACTTGTCAAACTTTGAATACGAACTGATAAAGTTTAAGGATCACTTTACCGAACCAGTTGAAGACATTGTAATCATAAACAAAGGAACACGGTTGATTATTAGCTGTGATGATCCGACATTGGGTCATCTTGCTTATTTGTATGAAATCCAAACAAAATAAATATTGAGACGCTTTGAGCCTACATATGGTCAACCTGGACTTTACTCGCTACAAAAAGGCAATGTTCTGTATGATCCATACACTAACTGCGAGTTTGAATTGCCCGCCGGAATGCGACATTTAACGAAATACTGTAAAGACATGTTCTGTACTCATCGTTATCTACCGTTGTTAGCACAACAACACAGGAAATTGTATCTGAAAGACATGGCAACTAAAAAACTTGTCAAATTTTGCACCGTCAGTGACCGCTTCAGCCATATTATTTTAGAGGAGGCTGGCTTGCTTTTAGTTAAAAGTAAGGTTTGTTTTAGAATTGTAGGGTACAGTCAGGGCCGGGTTTTCGTCTGAAGGACAGAGGGGGGGGGGAGAGGAGAGGGGGAGGGGAGGAATGTAGAAGAGGGAAGAAAGAAAACAACTCTCTCCCGAAAATTCTAAAAGTTTAACTTGATCCCCCTATGAATTTAAAAAAAATCGCACAAAAAGTTTTCGCCCGGCCCTGGGTACAGTAATTGATTAGTTTAACTCAAATCTAAAAAATTTTAGATAGCAATTATGATCACGATGAAGGAAACAACATTCAATTTTACGATTTAAAAACGCAAAAAGAGGTTTACGAACGTTGTTTTAAACGTGGACAAAATTGGAGAGCATTTTCACAGTACGGAATTCAAAATCGTGAAACTGGTGAAGTAAGCATCTAATATAGTATTATTAAAAAAGAAAAATCTTTTATGAAACAAGACCTATATTATTATAAGACCCGATATTACCATTGCAACCTGTTAAATATTAGGTCGAACGAAAAGTAGCGGGTCACTTTTCATTTTATTTTTAACAAAAAGGGGTCCTACTTCTAGTTCAACCTAACAATAAAATGTAAAAATTTAATTGCACTCATTTTTCAGTACATCATGTACAATCCTATCAAAAAACAGTTTTACTCGACATTCATCTACTGTCAGAAACCATCCTATGAATCAACAGTAGCTTGTAATTTTAAGTCAACCATAAATGGAAACCCGTTTAGGAACATTGACGAATGCAAAGATTATGAAACACCGTTTTTCTTTGACTACTCAACCGGTAAGAGCCCTAGTCCCGAACCACCCAAACCTAAAGCACTAGCTTAAAGCCCTAGCCCAAAGCTCTAGCTTAGAGCCTTAGCCCAGAGCCCTAGCCCAGAGCCCTAGCCTAGAGCCCTAGCCCAGAGCCTTAGCCCAGAGCCCTAGCCCAGAGCCCTAGCCCAGAGCCCTTGTCCAGAGCCATAGCCTAAAGCCCTAACCTACAGCCCTAGCCTTAGCCCTAGCCCTGGCACACAACCCTAGCCCTTGAATTGACTCTAGCCCAGAGCTCTAGCTGTTCCTCTCTAACCTAGAGCCTTAGCCCAGAACTTTAACCCAGAGCTCTAGCTCTTTTGCTCGCGACACTCCTAGCATTAGCCTTGAGTTTAATCTACTCTATCCACATTTAACTATGCCTTGCCATACCTCCAATACTCAAGAAAGTAGTAGTTTAGCTAAATAAAGTTAGAATGTTGCAGGAAAACTAAAACTCATGAAGATTCATAATTGTCACGGCCTGTCTCAATCAGCATTTTTTAAACATATGGGAGAAGAATGCTACGACTTTTTGAAAGAATGTAAACAAAGTTTTTGGAAAAGATACAACTGGAACAAGAAGCTTAAAACCTTTTTTGCCAAACGGTTGGTACACCGTCTTAAATGCAGCTCATTGTATTTCTACGAACATTCGCCGAGCTTTCAGTCATACGGTAAAACATTGTTAGTACAATCTTCATCGGATTCGCCCAGCATTTTAGAGGACTCATAAAAATTATCTACTAGGGCTCTAGCTACATACATACTAATATATTCTAGGCAATGTTACATGATTATGTCTTATATACAAACCATAAAAAATTAAAGATAAACACATACAATACTATATTCATCATACTTGTTATTTTACATTACTAACCGTGATAATTTAATAATATACTATTATATAAAACTATATTAATATAAAAACTTTTTTGGCTTGTATACAAACTATATTACACTAAAAATTTAATTACCATCTTAACAGTATTATATTAATAACAAGGTTAAAAGTGTTAGATAAATAATAACGTTTACAATGCCTGAAGAATGTGTAATAACAAGGTTATAGACATTATATGATACAAGATATGTACATAGCAAAACACTGTTAGAGAAGACGGTAACAATTTTACAAAAAAATAGAAAAAGAGTATGTAACGAACAATTACTGTTACTTAAAACACAACGTACAAATACAACCGCATAATTACAATTTTCAAAATTTTAGGACCAGATACGATAATTAGAGCAAGAAAACGTAATTGTTTGAACAATTTCAATAGAACTTTGAACTATCATATTATAATATTATGTCGTATAGCTATGATATGTAGCAAGGACAGGCACAATCCCTAGTTCTAGCTCCAGTTTTAGTTCTAGCTCTATTTCTATCTCTAACCTTAGTTTTAATCTCGATACTCAGAAGGTAACTAAACATAAAAAATTTGTAAAAATTATTTGAATATCAAGATTCAATGCTAAAGTTCAATGTATCAAGTACAGTGAAATTCCTTTATAACGAGCAAATTTGAAGTGTCCGAACGATTCGTTATACAGGAGTTATGCTGTATCTAATGATGTTGCTCGTTAAGCAACAGTTTTTTACAAAAGCTTAAAACCTTTACTTAAATTCCTGAAAAATTTGTAGATCAGAATTGTCAAATACGTGAATTAACACTATTTTCTAGTAATCATATATTCAGAATCTTTTTAGTCACGTATTGAGTATCCACAAAAGTCACAGTATTTTCAATGACCAAAAAACAAAATGACATATATTTTATCCTTTTTATAGATAAATGATTATAGCTATTGTAGGATTACAGTGTTTACTCCATTTTATGTTTTTTACTACTTTACCTATTGTATAGCTCTTTCATTATTTTATTATATGTAGATTATTTTGTGACATTAAGATTAAGTGTCAACTATTCAACCAAGCACACGGTTACTGACTACAGATATTTTGGTCAGATATTTTTGGGTGTTATACATGTTCGCTATTCTACTTCTTTCCTCACTATACCCTACTCTACCCTACCTTACCGAAGCCTTTCTACCCAACCTTGCCGGGTCATACTCTTTCTTATCCTACTTTACCCTACTTTACTATGTGCCATATCATGGCCAAAGTACTATAAAAACACAATAAAAGATTATGTACCACTATAAAAGCAAAACAAACAAAATACCCTAACTATATACTACAATAACACAAACCACATATATATTCCTTAAATTTCAGTAATTGACCACAGAACATGAATGACTACTTTATTTATTGTCAAAAATTATTCTATCAAAATATTACTCAAAAATCTTTATTCATTACAATTTAAACTCATGAATAACAAAGATACATAATCTTTGATTATCACAATATTACCGGTAAACGTACCAGGTGAATGTCAAAAAGTAAACAACTAATGAAGGGTATGCGTTTTATTGTTTTAGGTATGTGACTATAAATTCTACAGTAATAACATTGAACGTTAAATGATAACAAATCTCAATATTATCTAAATTTAGTAGAAATTTCATCTTGATATTCATAAAGTAGTAAATAATATAAATATCATGTACCATACCATACCGTGCAATTCTGTACCTTCAAATTTAAATATAAAATTGTCACATAGCTTACGCTCAGGTCCCAAACCCTATTGATACGCACTGAATCTAAAAGAAAGTTTTCGCGGGTTATTAGCGTCATTGCTTGAGGTTATGCTGGATGCAATGCTTACAACAGCAATCCATGACTTTCTAATGTACTTGAAATTACGTTAAACGACGCGTGCGTTATTATTAAAGCGATTTACTTTAATAAATTTATTCATTTGTTCGTACACATCCATACGCGCTTTGGTTAAAACCTGGCAACGTCGTGTATAATCCGTTTAGTAAAAAAGCTTCGAACTACCTTCTGAAATGGAGTATTTACCCTGTATTACATAGATATGTTTAATGATCACCGTTATATAGTATTGCTGACCCGATGAGAACAACGTTTGTATCTAAAAGATATGAAAACCGACAGTTTAATTAAGTTTGTGAAGCACCGTCAATATGTTTGACCATACTATTTTTGAAGATGTTGGTTTGCTGTTTGTGAAAAGTAAGATTTTAAAGTTCAAAATAAGAACGAGTTACTATGAAGGATTTGTTCAAGCGCTAATTTTATTATTTTTATAGAAAAGCTTACAGAACGATACGGGACTAAAAATATCCAGTTTAAAGAAATTTTTGTTTATCAGTGAACTACAAAATCTTTATCCATGCTCATTAGTCGCATGAAAACCAACAACCGTCAGTAATGGTAGTTACGCTTCATACATATTACCCGCTACTGACGTGCATTTTGACGGCACGTCACCCAAAAAACGCAAATTGGAATAAAAACTGTGTTTTTAATCGAAAATTAAGGTTGTTATAATAAATAAAATAAATTTTTTTTTGCAAATCGCGAAGTCGAACTTTGTTAAGTCATGTTTAGGGTAAATAAGAGTATGGTAAGGTAGAGCAGGGTAAGTTAGGTTATAGTAGTGTAGGATAAGGTAGAGTAGAGTCGAGTAGCGCAGGATTGAGTAAGGTAGATTAGGGTAAGACAAAAAATGTTTCTTTTTTCATATTTTTCCACAAACTGATCTCTGATTTTGTTCCGTATTCGTTGGATCATTCGATTCAGAAAACGCTCCGACTAGAATAAAGCAACGGAAACTGATCTCTGTTCAAGTGATTCTTATCAGAACACCGTAATAATTTGAAAAATTGAGTAAATTTGATGCTTTAGTGGCGTGTTTTTCATGTTTTACAAAGTACTTTGTATATAAAACTTTTTACCGTTTAAAAACAAACTTTTGTGAACTTTAAAACAAGCAAATGAGGTCGTTGTTCAATGTTACTATCCATTCCCAGCAAACTATTTTTTTCTGGAAGTTCCGATTCTTATTCAAAGATCACTTTTTCGGGAGCTTTCCTTTTTACGACGAGCAACAAGAGGGTTGCAACGTGCAGGGCTAGGTTACAAAAAAAGTAAATATACATAGGATATAATATTTGAACGGTCGTCTTGGTCAAAACGTATAGCTCTCTAATGTGCGTACAGTGCTCAAATTGTTAGTGTCAAGGCCATTTAACGGTTTTTTAAATGCTTTTCCAGTAACGTCTTATGCTGTCTCATACTATATAGGTCTATATTTACAACCCATGGTATTTAGTGCAACACTGTTAGTTTTAGGTTTTGAAAATTAAAAAAATCCAATTTTAAAACTTTTTATTGTTTATTCAATGTTCAAAATCATGATCCGCATCATCACAATAGTCAACAAGAAAAAAATAATAATAGAAACGGATAAGGAGAGGCGCTTAATATATCTTGTGTGTTCCCAAGAATGATTGCCACATACAAATAACACGAACATAAAGGCACCAACGAATAACCGTATACAATATATTTTGGATTTCGAGGTCAATACCGGTCGGTTTTGCGAAAAGTTCAAAATTTGTCAAAGTCGACACTTTGCCACATAATTAAATATAATTTTTAACATTTTTTCCAAACTTTAAAATCACCAAAATATTTTTTTTTAATTTAAAACCACGACTTAGACCTGAAAATCCTAAATTTGGTACTGTCTGAATATATGAACCTGGTATAATACGTCCGATAAGGCAAAAGATAAAATAAATATAACATCTGTCATGACACTATAACCAGTAAGGTAAAAACAACATATGTAAAACAAAAAGTCAGTAATATGTAAGAGAAAGAGAAGTAAGTGAAGTTATTACAGTGAAACAACAATAGTACAATTTACTACAGCATGGTGATACAATGATAAAAAATGTGGTAATATAAACCTTATTACTATGTATACTGTAAAAATATATACTGTAGTAGAATTAAAAGTAGTACAATACACAAAATGGCTGTAAATTATAATACGACGGTAAAAGTTAAGTAAAGTACTCTAAATTTAAATAAAAATTCTGATTTTACTACACTTCCGTAGTATGTTCAACTATACAATCGAAACATTTACCAAGGTAACTTTTGACATAATTAAAGCTACCATTTAAACTATAAGAAATTTAGACAAACTATATTAAAAAACAATCAAATAGATGAAAATAAACTAAGATAAAACTATTTTATAGAAATTTCATATTATTCTAAATAGAAATCGTTGTTAAAAAAGGTAAAAGTTAGCTCGATCGACTTGTAAGGCTATATGGTTTTGGCTGGAATGGCTCTACTTTTGGTTTGGGACGAGGCCGAGGCTTTGCGCGAATTCTTCGTCCCTGAAATTGATAAAAATTAAATAATTTTAAGTTAAAAAAAATTAAAAACCTGCAAAACTTTTACATTTAACAATTTTTATTGGCAAAATTTATACTTTATAACATTCAATGGAATGTCTTAAGTTTTCCCAACTTTCTAGCCCTAAACCTTTCAAAATTCCATCCAAAACGTACCTCATAATCTCACGCAGCAACCTCTCTCTCCTGGCAACCTTCAATTTGTTTTGGAACTTGTCGCTGCTCTCGTATTTGACAATTTGTTCAGGTTGATAGTCGAACAACCGGTGTGTTCTCTGATACTTGGCGGCCGTAACTTTGGCGTGGAATTTGATTCCGTTTTGGTTTAGATGGTTGAGAGTCCATTCCTTGGCTTCGTCCAAGTGGCGAATTCTAATGTCAGCTTCGTTTACTCCGAGGCCTTCTGTAGCATATCGTCGGGCCATTCGGAATATCGAAAGTTGTACTTGGAGGAGGTTGTAGAAGTAGTTTCGTGAGTCACGCCACATTACTTCGTCCTGAAATTAGAAAAATTAAATTTTTTTTTCCTGTAGATTTTTTTGACTTAAATTTTTTTTATTTTTGTTGTCCCCAGGGTAAAAATTCCAGCCAAAAAGCAAAAAACAATACAATCAAAAACCTACATGAATAGCTCCAACAGCCAACAACCTGGGCGTGGTATCGTGCATATCACTGAACTTGATAGCTCCATCCTTGAAGGTAGGCATCAACAATTCTCGTCGCTTCTCAACGGCCGCCTTCGCTGCCGCCTTCTCTACCTTGTCTAGACTTAAATCAGCATATCGTTTGACTAATTCTCTGAAAATGCCGTCATTTCGACTCATCCATAGATCGAACTGCTGAGGTCTGAATTTGATTTCAACAATTCCACTTGGTTCGAGTACTCCAGCTCTCGCCAGTGGATCAGCCAACATTGTGATACAAGTTTTGTTAATGTTCGTATCCAAAACAGCCCATGCTCCACCTCTCAGCTCGCCGTATGGTGGAAGGTAGATGATTACGGGTTGAGTATATTGTTGTAGACCGTCTACGATTTGAGCACCGAATTTGAGTACCATTTCGTACATGTCTTTCTGGCCGCCGGAGAATCCTCTGATGTTGGCCAGGATGATTAACGGTAGCTTCTCTCGGTTAAAGTCATTGATAAGGTCGGAGGTTTTGTGAGCCGAGTCTGGGTACCATACTTGGCCTGCTTGATGGACGAGTCTGGCTTGGGAGTCGTCAGCAGCTGGATCGGCCGGGATTTCCAAGTCTACGGTGTTGGTTTCTGTGCAGATTACACCTACATGTAGACCACGGAGGCGGGCTCTTCCGCATCTAAAAAGATTGTCGTTGCAAAAATATTCATCAAGACATTTTTTATAGCTTTACACTGTAAAAAATAAAAATTGTTACATAAATAATTTTTTTCACCCAAAAAACCTCAAAATCTTACCTGATAGTTCTGGCCCATCCTCCAACAGTTTCCTCGAATGATCCATGGTCAAACAATCCACCTTCTGGACAATCCAACACTTGAATCACATCGTAAGGTCCCTTTCTTGGCGATGACTCCACATCACGTTCCTTATCGTCCTTCTCCATCTCTGGACTCAAGTAACTCATTTGATTCAGAACATGTCGTACTCCCTGTAGATCTGATTGTACTACAGCTGTTGACACACCGTTGTTGTACATGATTTGAGGGCCTCCGAGTTGACCATTCGAAGTGTATATGGTCTTTCCTAACAATGAGTTCAAGGCGTTCATACCTGTTAGGATCAAAGGTGAGTTATCGACCTGGACGACTCTGTGAAGAAGTCTCGCTACGTAGGCTCCGATTCCGACGGCTCTGCCGGTAACCAGGCAATAGGTAGGGATTTCTTCGTAGGCTCTTGATGATTCACCAGCAATTAGACCGGATCCAACCAGATTCTCAACACCAATGTCACGTTCTCTTCCGATGATATGGTTGATTTTATAGTCACCGTTCTTCTTTACTTCGTACTCAATTTGGTCCAAGATTTCCTTCGTAGCGTCTTGTTTCTTGATGTACAGATGTGAACATCCTTCTTCTGGCTTCTCTTCGTTTTCGAATCCAACCATAACTTTAGCTTTGATGTCTTCGGCGTAGCCAATTCTGGCTCCAGAATTCGAAGCAATGTACAGTCTTGGAAGGTTCTTCTGTCTACCGTATTCACCGGCCTTTTGGTAGAGTTCATGTTCGGCCATTGAGAAGGATCCATGTTGATGGGTAATATCGTTAGCAATGACTATGATCTGCTTTCCTTGTGGAGCATCTGGAGTATATAAGTCGAAGATCCAGGCGATCATGCCACGCTCGTTCGTACCATTGGTCGATCTTTTTAGCATCTCTTCCTCGTCGAGTACTTTAATTTCGGTGCTTCCATGTTTTATTACAAGTTCGTGAGCTGTGGCTACTGGCCGTGAGTCGCCGTTCTTGATGGCTGTTTGTAGATGTCCTGGCAGCTTTTTGTAGACTTCTGGATATGAGGTTGGGTCAGACTTTTCATATTGTTTCCACAAGTCAAGCACGGCACGAGAAATAACAACAGGATAATCATAGACATAGGTGGTGTTCTGTTCTCTGGCAAGGTAACGCTTCTCTTGTACTTTGACTCGTTCGATTTCCTTGTATGGTGCGTAGGCATTTTGCTTGGCAAATCTGGCGAAGCCTTCTCTGATACTCTCCAACTCGTTGCTTCTGACTCTGTAGACACCAATGTCACTGATGGTACCAGTTTCGTTTGAGTACAATACTCTAACTGATCCTGGGGCACGTTTCGTCGCTGCCAGTCCACTTACATCTTGATAGACAATCTCGGCTTGGGTGATTCTGTTTCGGATTAGATATTGTTCACATTGTTGTAGGGCTGCTTTGGCCGCTTTCCAGAAGCCTTCTGTGCTCTTGACACGACTGTCGTACTCCAAGGCGATCATCAAGTGATGGCAGTCGAAGAAGACACGGTTTTTGTCGTGACGACCGGTAGAATTGGCGGCAACTTGAACACGAAGTTCTCCACAAGCTCCATCAATCACGTCGACGATTTTTTCTTGGAGGAGCTCGAGGGGTCTAAAATTGAAGGTTTATAATGTGAATAGAATAAAAAAGTAATAAAATTTTTAAAAATGATTAAAAAATATATTTTTTTTCATTTTTAAATATTCTTCATTTTTTTAAAATTTTTCACCAAAACATACGTTTGAGTTGAGTGTCGTTCAGGAGTGACAATCGTTTTCACATCTCTCAACAAATATCTGACAAAAACTCTCGAGATTCTTCCAACGTTATGTCTGAACAACATGTAGGGACTGTTCTCCACACTAATGTCGGTTTTCTCCTCAGGCAATCTGTAGATTTCGAGTTTTTCGTTTGCCGAAAAGTCGTAGTGAGTGTACAAAGGTGGTGATCCGGCTCTCGAGATCATGAGGTCAACAGAACCGTGACTTTTAAGTCTATCAGCGACTTCATTTCTCAGCTCCTTGGCCCTTCTTCTCAGCTCCTTCTCGGCGTACTTTGCGTACTGTGCGTAGCCGTTTTGACCGGTCGGTAAAGCTACAAACAAGAAGGTATTTTGAGCTTGAGGTTCTACGTTCGTCTTCAATACATTGAGGAGCTTTTCTGACTTGAGCAGGTCAAGTTCTGGCAGAACACTCAAGAAGTAGACAGCCTTTTTGTTGTTGGCATGATGATGATCGAAGAGTGGGTTATCTTCCAACAACTCAAACTTGAAAATGGCGGTGTTTTGCTTGAAATTGATTTTGATTTCCTCGATCGCGGCTTCGTTGACAAAGAATGTGTTTTGGATGAACAACTTGATGGCATAGGAGTTGGTCTGCTTGTTGTTGGTGAAGAAGAACTCATGAAGGACTAGCTGATTCTCTCTGACATTTGTCATGAAATCTTCCAAGATTCTGGCACCATCGTTTGTTGAGCACTTGGTTACCAAGTCTTGTAGTGATTTCTCCGACGATCTTCTGGTTACGGCCGCGTAGATTTGGCCATAGTCTTTGTTTTGATGGATTTTGTTCAGGGTTTCTCTGATGAACAAGGCGAGAGGTTCGTTTTCTCTGTTGAACAGGTTAGCGACTCTCTTCAATGGCTTCTGGAGTTCGATGATCATGTTGTTGTCCAAGCGGCGAATGATTTCTTTGAGGAATTCGTTCTTGGCAGTGATTCTGGTGTGAGAGTAGACCTTGCGGACAACGGCTTGAGGGTTGGATTCCTGAAATGTTGTGGGTTAAAATTGAAAACTTCCAAATTTTTTTGATAAAATATCGAAAAATGAAAAAAAAAATTTAAAGTTAAAAAATTTTTTGATTTTTTTGAAATTAAAAAATGGTTTTTTGAACATAAAAATCTTTTAAAATTTTTTTTAAATTAAAAAACTCACAATTTCCTTGATGTTATTCACGCCCTTATCATAAGAAACCTCTTGGAATCTGATCTCAGTGTTGTGATAAGCAGTCAAGAAGCCTTCTAACACTTGCTTCTTGTGTCCCTTCAAGTTATGCTTGAACTTGGCACAAATGTTCAACAATGGTTCAAAGTATGGTTGGTCGGCGGCAGCGGCAATTGGGTCCAATGTGGCCAAGTAGTTCTCAATCTCATCGGCCAATTCGTCGGCTGGGAATGGCACAGTTTCCTTGGAAATGAGTTCCTTGATCTTGTTGTAAGTGCCAATCTTGTTGATTTTCGTTTCGACCACATTCAGCATTACCTTGAACAAGTTGTAGGGTAGAGCTTGGTTCTCGAGGGTGGTGAAGAGCTCATCAACCAAGGCGTTCTTCCTCTGTTTGAATAGGAGCTCTGGCACTGCGTAGCCATCGAGAACGTCGGTACAGGCTTGAATCAGTTGTTCGAATCTGACATTCAGTCTGACCTTGCCCAACTGTTTTCGCTCTTCAGCCTGATTCCATTCCTCAAACTCTCCTTCGAACTTTTCTGGTCTTGAGCTAGACATGTCTCCTTGATCATCCAGTCTGGCGATCAGCGTTCCTGGGAACAGAGCTTGACCAGGTCTGGCGACATGAACCAATCTTCCTCCTGCCTTCTTTACTTCCAAATTTATGACCATCTTCATTGACTCCATCTCCGCATAAGTCTCGCCCTTCTCGATCATTTCCCCGTCCTTTACCAGGTACTGCAACAATCTACCGGCATTTCTTGACCGCAACACTGAGGGATCATTTTCCTTTTCGAAAATGGTCAGAGATCGGCCAATGTTCACCTTGTAGCGCTCTACCTCTTCTTCCAAATGGCACGTGTAGGATTGATCAGAGTATGTTACCAGCAGACTTTCGTGACCTAGTTCGCGAACTTCCGTGCAGATTTCGCTGTCGTTGTCCGAAAGTTTGACGAGGAAATTGATTGGGCCATAACGGTTGACCATGACCGAGTATTTGACATTGTTGTGGACGAGTTCGAGTTCGAAGGTTTCGGTCAGTTCAGAGGTGGGCAGAATTTGACCTCTGAAGGGATTTTTTAAAATTTTTTATTTTAAAATTAAAAAAAATTAAATTTTTAATTTAGAATTATCTAAAAAAAATATATTTTTTTGCTATTTCAAACCTACTATAATATAAATTTTATATATTAACTCTTAAAATATTTTAACAATTTTTTTGAGCTTTCTCTACCTACTACAATATAAACAAAACCTACCTTTCAATAGCCGATTGAAATTTAGAAAAGACTTCTGCGATCTTGGCGTGTCCGATAACTGTCGCACCAACGGCCAATGTGACATTGACTGGTAGTTCAGGTACGGATTGGATATTGTTCTGGATTCTGGCATCCAACCATCCGGTGTGGAAGTTGTTTCTTTGGAAGTCTTCATCGTTCAACAAGCCGACCAAGTAGTTGATTTGAGAAGGGAAGGTTGAGCGAAGACGAAGTTCTTTTAAAGCACAGGTCATGGCGGCAATGGCTTCGTGACTAAAATTATTTCATCACTTTAGAGATGTCATATTTTTAAAAACTTGTCATATTTCAACAAGGGAGTCGCACCAAAGATCCCTCAGGCTTTAAAAAGACTAAAGAGGCTGCCAAACTCAACATAACTTACCGTGTACTACCCTTCGCAAACAAATGTCCAAACTGTGAATCGGCGAACTCGTGAACTTGCCCAGCGGCCGAAACCGAAAAGTATCCCCAGACGTTCTGGTTTGACTGGAACTCCAGATTCACCACCTTACCAGATGCTGGTCTAAACTGATCCGATGGGTCTTCTGATGTAATTCTAGCCGCAATCACACAAATGTTGACGTCGGTGCGGATTTGATCCTCTGGGAGGGGTGATTTTCCGTAGCGATTCATTCCGAAGAACAGTCTGATTTCGTCGATCCTGTGTAGCGGGATACCCATGGCCACTTGGAGTTGAATGGCCGGAATGTTGATGTTGGAGATCATCTCGGTACAGGGATGTTCGACTTGAAGACGAGGGTTTAGCTCGAGGAAGTAGTACTTTTTGGATTCGGGTAGGTACATGTATTCGACGGTACCGGCGGAGACGTAGCCTACTTTCTTGGCCAGGTTGACAGCATCCTGAATAATTAAAGTTAAAAATTGGAAAATGGCAATAACTTTCTTTACAAAACAAAAAAAGGCAAAAACTTTCTTTACAAAAAAAATTGCAAAAACTTTCTTTACAAAGCAAAAAATGGCAAAAACTTTCTTTACAAAACAAAAAATTGCAAAAACTTTCTTTACAAAATTCAAAAATCACCCTTTAAACCTTTTTAAAATTACCAAAAAAAGAAAAAGACAACGTATTTTACCTGCTGCATTTGTCTCAGCACCTCCTTTGGTGCAATACCGGCTGGGGCTTCTTCGATAATCTTCTGGCAACGACGCTGGATGGAACAGTCACGGGTGAAGAACGGTACAACTTGGCCGTACTGATCGGCAATTAGTTGTACTTCAATGTGACGTGCGTTCATCAGGCACTTCATGAGGAAGATTGGAGAGCCTGGGACTTCAGTCTATAACAACATTTTTTAAAAAATTTTTAAAAAAATCTTAAAACCTACCCCTAAAAAAATAAAAAAATAAAGCTCTACCCCTCCTCTTATTAAAAAATCCTTGTCCACTCATAAAACCAAAAAACACCCCCAAAAGCCTTCAAAACCCCATACCAATCCAATATTAACCTACCTGAACACGACGGAAATTGATGCGGAATTCCTCGTCGTTGTTACACTTCCTGATTCCCTTGCCTCCACCGCCTTCTGAAGCCTTGATCATGATTGGATATGTGATATTCTTCTCTTTCAGGCATTTTAAGCCTTCTTCGACATTGTAAACACAAGCTTGCTTGTACAAGTCGGCTGGGATGTTAACCACGGCTCCTTCGCCGGACTCGTTCACGACCAAACCGGAGCCGGACCATTCGATTGTTGGGATTTTGACGGTCTAAAAGTTAAGGATCAGTCACTATTTCAGACTTTTGGCAAGAACTTTCTTTACAAAACATAAAATGACCAAAACTTTCATTAAAAAACATAAAACAGCAATAACTTTCTTTACAATACAAAAAAAATGCAAAAACTTTCTTTCCACTACAAAAATAAGTTTTACCTGAGCAATAATAGTAGAAGCAATTTTGTCTCCCAAAGCAAACATAGCATCGGCCGGTGGACCGATGAACACGATATTGTGCTTGGCCAGCTCTTCTGGCAAACGTGGGTTCTCGGAAGCGTGTCCCCAGCCGGCCCATACTGCGTCGACGCCATTCATAACGGCGTGGGAGATTATTTCATCCACATTGGCGTAGTTGTTGGTGTTGGCGCCGGCCGGTGCGATGGTGAAATGATCAGCGTACTTGAGGTATTCGGCTTGAGACGCGATCTCTTGGTCGGTAGTCATGCAGATGAGACGAATGATGTGGTCGTCTTTGAAGAGGTTCATCATCCGCTTGCGGATGGAGACCAGACATTTTACGGCCGCGATACCGTTCGTGGCTACTAAGATCTGTAAGGATATTGATTTAGTAGGTATGATAATATAAAGCAACACTTTTTAAATTAAAAATTTAGGTAACAAAAGCATTAAAAACAAAAAAAACCTAAAAACTTTAAAAAAAGATCAATTTACCCCACCCTCAAGTTAAAAAATCAATTTACCCCGCCCTCAAACTAAACACCCAATTTACCCCGCCCTCAAGCTTAAAACTCAATTTACCCCGCCCTCACGCTAAAACCCAAGTTACCATCCCACAACCCCCACCTACCTTTTTGATGTGGCGTGCTTTAGATGGATCCTCGACGTGCGAGTTGACGTAGTCCTCGATGGTGTTGTAGGTTTGACTTTGTTGGTCGATGAACTGTGTCATAGGCGAGCTCTCGGTCTTGCTGAGCCGATAAGTCAGCATTTTGGATGTGGTGGGCCCGGTCATTTCGGCAACGGCGGTAGCGCCTCCTCCTTTAAGTTGCCTGGAAAATTGAAAATTTTAAATTTAAATGGACAAAGTAAGCTTAATCGTATTTTACAATAAGAAATTTGAAGATATGGTAATAATAGGCCAGAAAACTTTAAAAAACGGGCAGGTCTTACTGAAAATTTTGGTTTTTTTGATCTCCAGACCACCTCTTTTTCTATATTTTGCCTTGTAAAATCACCCCCGCCCCTCATTATTACTCTTCCTGCTCTTCAAACCTCCCTTTCCTCTATTATTCCTCAAAAACTCACCCCACCCTCCTTTTTACCCTACTTTCTAACCCAGCCCACCACTATTTAGCCCCTCATTTTAACAAATTTAAACTTTGCACTTCCCCCAACGCAAACGACAAAAAAACCGGCCAGAACTGCAAAGCAGCTAAGCTAAGTTTTCGTCATTGATACTATCTCTGAATTTGTATGAAAAACGACGAGGGGGGGTGGCGCAGTGAAGACGGAGAAGGAGAACGTCTGATTGCGCAGGCTTTCCGATCGAATGCCATCTCGACGCACCGACGAAAAAAAGGTCAATCATGTGAGGGATCTTTGCTGTTTTTCAAAGGCGGATTTGTTGAAAACGGCCTACATGTTTCACTGCCTGGGGTTATGGAATCGTATGAAGGCTTGGAGGTTTAGAAGAGGTGATTTTTAATTTGCAGGTACAAGAAAATTAAATTTTAAGTTTGAGGCACTGAAAATTTATACGAAGGCTTCTTTGGCAAAAATATTGTACTTATAAACATTTGGCTTGGCCCAGAATTAAGGTTCTATCTTTTTTCAAGCCGATGTAACCTCAATATTTTAGTCTTTTTCAAGCCATTGCCGCAAGAGCCTAGCGTTTCTTCAAGTCCTAGCCGCAAAATTCTACACTTTTGCAAGCCATAACTATAAGATTCTAGCCTTTTTCGAGCCATAATCACAAAGATTCAAGCCTTTTCAAAGCTATAACCACAAGATTCTAGCTTTTTTCAAAGCCATAACCACAAGATTCTAGCCCTTTCTCAAGCCATAAATACAAAATTCTAGCCTTTTTCAAACCAACACCAGAAGATTCAATAATTTAATACTTGCAATTTAAAATCGACAAGACTTTTTTTTTTATTTTGACTCAAAAGAAGCTATAAAGAAAACAAATTTATTTTTTCAAAAACTCTTTGACTAAAAATCACCTTTTCTACCTTAAAAATTCAGTTAAACTTCCAAAAAAGTTCAAAGTTTCAAAAAAAGTAATATTCAAGTTCTTCTGCTTTCACTATTTGGTAATCTGCTGATCGTAATCTTAATTTTTTAAAGAAGTTCGCATTGAAAATTGTTCCAAAATTTGGTATTACTAACCGTGCTTGATAAACGTTTGTTCAAAGGTAATGACTTAGTAAAAGATTTGTTATTTTAACAGTTATAACGCAGAAATTAGTAAAAGTTTAAAAAATTTATCAATTTTCATATTGTTATATATCTTGAAACTTAAGGTTTTAAATACAAAAAATAGTTTTTTGAAAGACAAAAGCTGTGGCGAAGCCTAAAATAACGTTTTACACATCCAAAACTATCCAAACTGACTTACAGCTTCTCATAAAACTGGCAGCAACAACAATTTGCGCTTGTTGTTCCTCAAACAACCTTGCTAGTTACAAATTTACGTCTACAACACTCAGCAAAAGGTTTGTGCCTTCGAAATTTAACTATTCCTCCTTTTATTGCTTTGGGTAATCTTGATCTAGACTAATAAACAAACAACCGAGAAGGACAGTTACAAAACAGGGCCGTAACGTTTATGACATATCAGATAAAATTCAATGTTGCGCAACTTGACTCGCGCTACTTTTATGAAATTGAGGTTGTACAAAAAAGTGTGATTTCAACTTTTTAAAGTTTGAGGTATGAATCATTGCTTTGTTTTTGAGTTTTCTTGAAGGAAGTTTAAGTTTGTTAAGGTAGATGGCTAGAATCTTGTAGTTATGTTTTAAAAAAGTAGAGAACCTTGAGGTTATAAGTTGCAAAAAGCTAGAGTCTTGAAAATTTAAATTTTTTATTTTAACTTAAAATATTATTTTTACAAGATATTTATGAATTAAAAAAAGCTATAATCTTGTCTTGACAGCTTGAAAAAGGCTAAAATCTTGTCAATATGGCTTAAAAAAGCTAGAATCTTCAGGGTAGAACACATAGAAAGTTTTGTGCTTATGCCTTGAAAAGGCTAGAATCTTATGGTTATGACTTAAAACAAGATAATAACTCAATTTCTGTACCACGCCAAATGTAGATAGTACACTCTACTTGTTAAAAAATTTATATAAGTTAATGGACACGAGCCAGAAACAGAATGTATGCCTGAACGAGCCTAAAATTAGTTCAAAGGTCATCTTTAAAGCTTAAGTTTATGTTTCAAACTACAAAACTAATAAAAAACTTCCTTTTTCATTTACAACACCCTACCCTTTGATCCTTACATGCCCCAAAATACCTAAATTACTATCAAACACAAAACAAAAAAGACATAAAATACAACATACAGTCAGTTACGGTTACCAAAAGTACTATAAAATGATACTAAATGACCTCAAAAATGTTGTCTTACCCCTCTACCTTAATATCTGCAAAACTTTTACCCCTAGCCCTAATATTAACAAAGATATCCCATCTTTCCATGAAAAACATACCCAACCACTACCATCCAACCCTAAATGCTACAAAACGTTCATCATCGACCTCAAAATCACATTTAAAACGCCTCTAAACCTCGATAATTTGGGCAAAAAACCAAGAATTCCTTATCACCGGTCACCCCAGCTCAACGGGAACAGTGTTCACGTAACGTTGGAACGATAAGAGATTTCTTGAAAATAAGACCAGATAAGCAATTTATTGGGCTGATTTTGGGGCGGAGCTGTTTGGTGGTGATATTCGGGCAACAATTCATAAATTTTTGATAATATCGGCCAAACTTGATAAATAATAACGGCCAAATTTTTAATTCAAAAATCATTCTTGATTTTTAAACTATATTTGAATGTTTGGGTCCTTAAGTTTTTGCAATAATTTTCCAGGCAAATTCTGTAAATTTTGTAACTTTTTTTAGTTAATAAGCTTGAAAATTGACTTAAAACGACAAAACTTTTAAAATTTTATACCATTGCTAAAAAACGACTGTATCAGGTACAAAAACATACAGAACTACGTCCATTTTGAATAAAAAAATTCAAAAAAAGTAAAGTTGACCTTTTAAAAACACAAAAACAACAAAAATACGGTGCAAAAAGTAGCGTTTTGGCCTTTAAAAATAAACAAAGTACGTAAATTAAAAAAATGTTTAAAATTTCGACGTTTCTAAACAGCGTTTAGCAGCTACGCCTTGTTTTGCCAATTTTTAGTGACAGTCTTATGAAATTTTCCCAATTTTCATAATTTTATCCCGTTGGTAACGCCAGAATGGGTTCGAAGCGTTTCTTTTTTTGTGTAAAGTCCGGCCAAACATAATCACAAGATCAAATTATAGAGAACAATAAGTTTTTATATACAGAGAGCACTAGACTATTAGTACTAGTTTACTATTGCTTTAGAGGTTTTGTCTGATTTACCTTGCCTTACCCTACTCGACTTTACTGTACCCTACCCTCTTTGCATTAACCCAAACCTGTATCTTGCTTACCCTACTCTACACGGCTCTATCCATCTATCCAATCTATTCTAGCATCAACTACCCAATCCAAACCTGTACCTTTCCCCAAAGCATAGACTCTATTGAATGCCCAAAAAGTCACAATAACGAGAGCACGCAAAAATCGTGGAAAAAGTCCACTTTTCTCCCAATTCTGTCTCGCGTATCACACCACCAGAGAAGGCGAAGAGGAAATCATCACCGGAGAAAAACTTTTTTGATATAATTAATAAGCTCATTTTACAATGAAACATCCTGCGGCCGATCGACTTCTGGTCACTGATGGTTGTGGCTACTTATGAGAGTTAAATACAGTTAATTATATTAATAGAAGAGGAAGATTGAATTTTCTAAAACTAACTATCATTGGCCGCTCCAAACGAGTAGTTTTAATCCAGCAAAATAATGTTTTCTTCAGCCCAAGAGCAGAAGAAGTTAAGGTAGAGTAGAATAAGGTAGAGTAGTGCAAGCTAGAGTAAAGTAGGGTATAGTAAAGTTGAAAAATTTTAAAAAATACCAACAGGGAGATCAACCTCATCTATTTTTTTAATTGATATTACAGAAATCTTGTTACGTATTAAGACAATTTTTATTTTGTCAAATTAAAAAATCTGGTTTTAAAGAACAAAAAATCAAATTCTTAAGACTTACGGAAGAATAATAAAGAAAAAAAAACCTATTTTAAAGTGATCGTTCTTTAAAATCCAAAAATAATCAAAAAGAAAAGAATTTCTAAGCTTTCTAAGTAAGACCAATAAAGTACTAAAAATACTATTTTTAAGCCTAAAAAGAATCCTATCTTAAAATTTTTAAGCCCAAAGCAAGCGTACCTCTAAAGGTATTAAGCCTAAACAAGCTTGTTTTTGAAGGGTTTAAGCCTGAAAAGCCTATTATTAAAATGGTAAAGCCTAAAATAAGAATATTTTTAAAATCTTTAGATCTAAAGTCCATTTTTAAAGTTCTTAAGCCTGAAACTAGCCTACATGCCAAAAAATATTCAAAATGTAAACTTAAAAATTTTAAAAATAAAAAAAACTGCTAAAAAAGATGAAAACCCCCGCCAAAAATAAATTCCTAGCTATGTAACACAGTAAAACCATAGTTCACTATCAGCCGTAAAAGTTTTGGCTCGGTGTTCGAACCGGAAGCGGTTTTAAAACCATCACAAAAATATACAAATGCCTAAGGGTCTCGCCACTAAATTTTCATCCCAAGGTCGTTGTTTAGGAAAAAATCATATAATTAATGAGGTTGGCAGCCGATTAATCTACTTGAAACGTCTTACAGTTTATTGTTGTTTT